TTTTAAAAAACAATTTTCCCTCAATTACATGTGAAAACAATTTTTAACATTTTTAAAGTTTTGAGTTCCAAATTCTATCCTTCCCTCCTCTCCCTCCTCCCTGAGATGGTAAGCAATCCAGTATTGATGTAAAATATTCCAAGAAAGAAAGAAAGAAAGAAAGAAAGAAAGAAAGAAAGAAAGAAAGAAAGAAAGAAAGAAAGAAAGAAAGAAAGAAGAAAGAAAGAAAGAAAGAAAGAAAGAAAGAAAGAAAGAAAGAAAGAAAGAAAGAAAGAAAGAAAGAAAGAAAGAAAGAAAGAAAAAGGAAAGAAGGAAGAAGAAGGAAGGAAGGAAGGAAGGAAGGAAGGAAGGAAGGAAGGAAGAAAGGAAGAAAGGAAAAAGGAAGAAAGAAAGAAAGAAGGAAAGAAAGAAAGAAAGAAAGAAAGAAAGAAAGAAAGAAAGAAAGAAAGAAAGAAAGAAAGAAAGAATATTCTCCAGTCTGTATTCAGACAATATCCTTTCTTTCTCCAGAGGTAGATAGCATGTTTCATCATGAATCCTTTGGAATTGTCTTGGATCACTGTATTGCTGCAAATAGCCAAGTCATTCACAGTTCTTCATTATATAATATTACTATTTCTGTGAACAACGTTCTTCTAGTTCTGCTCACTTCACTTTGCATCAGTTCATGTACGTCTTCCTAGATTTTTCTGAAATCATCCTGCTCATCATAAAATGTTTTTGTAAATGGAATAAGAGCACTTGAGGAAAAAAATTAGAAAAGAAATGAGAATAATGAAAAAGAATTGAAAAAAAGAAGTTTTGCACAAGAAGTACAAAACTTTGCCCAAGCAATAAACTCCCTGAAAAGTAGAATGCACCAAATGGAAACCAATGACTCTTTGAGCAACGAGAAATATTAAAATAGTCAAAAGGATGAAAAAATAGAAGAAAATGTAAGTTATCTCATAGCAAAAACAACTGATCTGGAAAACCAATCAAGTAGAAAAAAAATTAAGAATCTTTGGACCATCTGAACACCATGACCAAAAAATAGAGCCTACACATCATATTTCAAAAAGAATCTTAAAATTGCCCAGATGTCTTAGAACCAGAAGGGAAAGCAGAAATAGAAAAAATCCACTGATTACCTCCTGAGAAAAACCCCAAAAGAAAATTCGTAGGAACATCATAGTCAAAACCCAGAGCTTCCAGGTCAAAGTGAAAATTCTGTAGGAATCCAGAAAGAATTCAAGTACTAAGAAACTATGATCAAGATGATGCACAATTTAGCAACCACCATTATAAAGAAGTGGAAAGCCTGGAATATAATATTCCAGAAGGCTTAGAATATGGGCTTACAGCTAAGAATAACTTACCCAGTAAATCTGGGTGTAATAGTACAAAGAGAAAGATAGACCTTTAATGGAATAGAGACTATCCACCTATTCTTGATGAAATGACCAGAGCTGCAGAGAAATGTTGAAGTTCAAACACAGGAGTAAGGAGAAACATAAAAAGGTAAACATGAATGAACAATGACTAGGGACTAAACAAAAATAACCTGTTTATATTCAAAGATGGGGAGATAATAACTGTGTCATCTCTGATGCCTATCAACACAAGGGTTCATAGAGGGAGTCCTGTTAGACAGGGCCTGAGAGTGGTCCTGCTTTGTCTTGAATTGAAGAAAAGAAAGGAAAGAGAGAAGAAAAGGGATACACTAGAAGTGGGGGATGGAAGGATGGTTAGGGGAAATTATCTTGTGTAATCAAGGTACACAAGCAAACATCTAAACAAACAAAGGGAAGAGGTAAGGGCTGCTACTGACACTTGGACCTCATTCTCTTCTGAGCTGGTCAAAAGAAGGAAGAGGACACATAAAGAGTTAGGTATGGAAATACATTTCCCTCAACAGGTAAATAGAAGGGAAAAGGGAGAAGGAGGGAGGGGAATTAGAAGGTGGGTAGATTGAGGCAGGGTTAATTCTAAGCAAAACAAACTAAGGATATTTATAGCTCTTTTTTGAGGTGGCAAAGAATGGGACTCTAAGAGGGTGCCCATAAATTGGGCAATGGATGAATAACTTATGGTATATAAATGTGATGGATACTATTATACTGATCTTTATCAGCATAATGACCAACTAGGATTCCAGAGGAGTAATGAAATATGCTACCTATATCTAGATAGAGAAGTGAAAGAAACAGAGTGTGGAATGAGACAGGTTTTTTTTCTTGTCATGACCAATGTGGATATTTGTTTTGATTTACTATAAGTGTGTATAATGAGTTTTATTTTTCTTGTGTTCTCTCAGGAGGATTGAGATGGGTGGGTGAGAAGGAGGATCTTGGCTGGTTAAAACAAATAAAATATTTGTTAAAAAACCCAAAGGAATGACAAGACTTGAAGATATGAAGATTGAACTGATGATTCCAGGGTTGTAAACTTGGGTAATTGGAAGGATGCCAGTGCATTCAACAGAAATGGGGAAGTTTGGAACAAAGACGAGTTATGGGGCCACTATACTGAGTTCTGCTTTAGACAAAGTGAGTTTGGGATGCTTGAATGCAATGTCTACCAGGCACCTGGTTTTACAATATTTGAGTTTAGGAGAGAGATTAAGGCAAGATATGTAGATTTGGGACTCATCTGCATAGAGCTGATTCCCTTCTCTACTGTGGTGAGTGACAGCATGCAGTGGAAAGAGTATAAGGCTTTGAGTCAAAGCATCTGGTCTGAATACTGAGTCTCCTAGTAACTAGCTACGTGACTTTAGGTAAGCCACTTGATCTTCCTAGGCCTCAGTTTGTCCATTGTTTAATGAAGGGGTTAAATAGTTCAAGGGTTTTTAACCTTGGGGGGGGTCATGGACTCCTTTGGCACTCTGGTGAAATCTATAGGCTCTTTCTCGAGTAAATGTGCAAATAAAATACATAGAATTACAAAGGAAACTAGTTATATTGAAATGCAGTTTATATAGCTAGGTGTCTATGTATGTATCTTGTATCTGTCTATCACAAGTTTATGGACCCCAGGTTAAGAACCTCTGGTTAGCTAATCTCTAAGCTCCTTTGAAACTCTAAATCCTATGAATTAAAATGAAAATGTCATAGTTTTCATAGTTGTAAGAAGCTTCAGAGATCATATGGTCCAAACCCCTCATTTTATAGTGAGGAGACTGAAGCCCATATGGGTTAAGTGACCTGGCCAAGGTCACAAGTAGCAAGAGGCAGAGCCAGAATTCAAACTCAGATGCTCAAACTCAAAAATTCAATGTTTTTTACACTACTCCACTCTGACATCACAAGGGATCAATCTATAAGCATATATTGATTACCTTCTGTTTTCTATACTGAGGAAGATACAAGTCACTGAGCGTCTGTTTAGGTAGGTAGGATCAATGCACAGGAAGCAACCAGGAAATCATTAGGGCTTTGTATAATCAAGTCCTAGGATGTGGGATGCCCAGTTGGGATGGTAAAGGAGAAATTCTAAGAGAAATCAATGGGAGTTAGGGTAGTCAAGGAAACCTTCATAGGAGAGGTGAGACTACAGTTGTGTCTTGAATAATAGATAGGATTTAAATAGAAGGGAGAAGAAGAGTATTCCACTGAGTAATAGGAAGATCATAGGACCTAGAAATGAAAGGATCTTAGGAGTCATTGAATACAACCTTTCCCTATTTTACAAAAGAGGAAACTGAGGCCCCCAGGAGGCTAAGCAATCTGACCAAGGTCACATAAATAGTAAGTAGCAGAGTTGGGATCTGAGCCAAGACCTTTTAACTGCAAATCCAGGCTCTTTCCACTAGCTGTATGAACAAAGACGCAAAGCAGGAATGGTCAATGAGTGTGTAACAAATGATGGAGCCCACCCTGGCCCAAAGAGAGGAGGATTCATGTTGGAAAATTAAAGGCCATGAGACCAGAAAGATAACATGGGTTGAGCTTGTAGAAGACCTTGAATGTCAGGGCACTTAATAAATATTGACTGAATTGAATAGGTTATGAGCGATAGACTGGGGAATGGAGAGCCTGGAGGAAGCAGGGGGACTAACCAGGAGGCCTTTACAGTGATCTAGGCAGGGGGCTTTCTAATGTACTGGAAAACATCTCGAAAATATTGAAGCAATATGCGAATGCAGGCCATTATTATTATAATGTTGTTATAATCATGTCACAAATATCTGAATTCCCATTTCAGAATAATTTTTATCTTAGACCCATTCTGGGGGCAGGAAATAAATGTAGACATGAGGAAGGAGTGGCTTTTGTCAGGAATCCAAAAGGAAAGCTGTAGAGAAGTAGGAGCTCTCCCTCCAGTCCCCTGAGGCCCTTGGCATTTACCAGGTCCATTACCACCTCCTTCTTATATCACATTTGGTCAGAGATATGGCAGTATAGTTGCTGGCATATGGGCAGTGCTGATGTTAATAGCTGCCGGTAGGGACTCAGCCAAGAGAGACTTCTCCTTTTGATTTTCCAAGAGGATCTGAGTTCTTGGAGAGGGGCTGGATAAGGTGGGTAAGAGTCCTCCACTCTTTTTTTGGCGGGAGGCAATTGGGGTTAAGTGACTTGTCTAAGGTCACACAGCTAGTGTCAAGTATCTGAGGCCGGACTCGAACTCAGTTCCTCATGACTCCAGGGCTGGTGCTGTATACACTGTGCCACCTAGCTGCCTCTCTCTTCTCTTACCTAAATACCATAGTGTTTACTTCTCTATTGTTCAGCACAATGTCAGTTCCTTGAGGTTAGGAATATTGAGTTTATGTCTTCATATTTCTAGCCCTACACATAGTAGGCATTTCATGAGTATTTGGCAAATTGAATTCTCTTTTCTTCCCCTTTCCCCTGGCTACCTTTCCACTCTGCTCATTTCACCCAAGGCTGTGATTTGTCCGCACTGGCCATCGCTCTTTGGCCTTTTCCAATTCAGGAGTCTGTCCCTGTCTGCTGGTGAGCTTTTCTGGTTGGTGGATTTGCTCCATTCACATCACCCCGATGCCTCTCTATTTCCAGAGGAGTTCCGAGGGGTCACCATTGTGGAGCTAATCAAGAAGGAGGGGAGCACTTTAGGGTTAACCCTATCCGGTGGCACTGACAAAGATGGGAAGCCTCGAGTCTCCAACCTGAGGCCTGGCGGACTAGCGGCCAGGTAAGAGACAGCACGCATCTGCTGTTGGGCGTGATCAAGGGAGAAAGGGGGGGAGAGAGGGAAGAAGGAGAAGACGGAGAGAATGGGGCGGGCCTCTAACAAAACATCATTTACCGTATCACAGAATATCAGAACTAGACAGGACCCGTGAACATAGAATGTCAGAGCTGGGAGAAGTCTTTGGGCATGAAATGCTAGAACATAGAATATTAGAGCTATGGGGAGGGTGGGGCAGGGAATTGGATCCTAGAATATAGAATGTTAGAGGTGGAAAGGACTTTAGGACATGGGATGTCAGAGCTGGAAGGGAGCTTACAACAGAAGAGCTGAAGGGATATTAAAGATCATTTAAGTCAACTCCATTCTCTTCCAAATGAGAAAACTGGGGCCCAGGGAAGGCCTATGCCTTGCCCAGTTCCCAGATTAGAACTCAAGGTTCCTGACTGCAGTTCTTTCACCACACTTTGCTACTTTCCCTGGGCAAGAGGGATAAAAGTTAATGGCTAGCATTTAAGGCTTGCAAAGCATTTTACATATGTTAGCTCATTTGAGCCTCACAAGTCTGTCAGGCAAGTGCAATTAGCATCCCCGTTTTGAGAACAGAAGAATCTGAGATAGAGAAAAGTGAAGTGATTGACAAGTAAGTGTTGGAGGCTGAATTCAAACACAGGTCTTCCTAACTCCAAGTAGAGCACACTGTGTACCTTGCCAAAAAGCTGCCCTGAAGGGATAGGTTTCATGTTTCCTTGTTTGTTTTTTATGCATCCTGTTGCATCTGTGTTTGAAGAGACTTCTTAGACCTGTGGTCTAAGACTTTGTGGTCTAGCTACTGCACCATAATAAAAGGGTTTGTTCTGTGAAGTTTGGATTCAGTCAAAGGGCCTCACTTGAGGACCTAGAGGGCCACATGCGGCCTTGAGGCTGCAGGTTTCTCCTCCCCTAGCACATGAGACTGTGTTCATTCCTCCTTGGAGAAGTCTGGGGTGTGAAAAGGCAGAGAAAGTGACAGAGGGGAGAGAGAAGGAAATGTGAAAAAAAGAGAGACAGAGTGAGAGAGAGAGAGAAGAGAGAGAGAGAGAGAGAGAGAGAGAGAGAGAGAGGAGAGAGAGAGAAACAGAGAGACAAAGACAGACAGGCAGGCAGAGACAGATAGACAAAAAATGATGGACAGAGAAAATGAAAGGGAGGGAAAGAGAGGCAAAGAAAGGAAGAAGGGAGAGAGAGAGAGAGAGAGAGAGAGAGAGAGAGAGAGAGAGAGAGAGAGAGAGAGAATTATTTTTATTATGGGAAAACTAAGGCAAAGATTATGAATTGTCCCTCAAATTCCCTCAATCAAGTCAACAAGCATTTATTTCGCACTTACTATTTACAGCCAGTCATACTGCTAAGCCCTTGGAATATGATCACAAGCAGAAAGACAGTGAATGGGTCATTGGCCAAACTAGAGCCCCATCCTGACTTCTAGGGTAGCTCCCAGTTCTCCTTGTTACTAATTTAAACAAACTCTAACTTTGCCCGAGTCAGTCCTAAGCAAAGCGCTGAAGATAGTGAAATTGGGTGTCGCCAGCTCTCGCTTCTGTGCTCTTCTCCTAGATGCCAGGTGCTCCCTTGTGTGCCCTATACCTTTGCCCATTGCTCTCTTGTTGCCCTGATTTCTCCCATCATTTTAGGAGAAGAGCAATCTGAGAAACCTTAGGGAGGTGACATGCTTCCATATCTGAAGGGGTATCTTATGATAGAGAGAGCAGACATTATCACACAGAACTGGGACTTACTTACAAAGAAAGGGTTCAAGCAGACAGATTTCAACACCAGGAAAAGCCTCTGAGTTACAATAATTGTCCAGCAATGAGATAGACTGCCTCCATATGTAGTTGCTAGACATTCTTTCACTAGAGGTGTGCAAGCATTCAGTGGAACCAAAAGAAATGTGTTCTAGGTGCCTCATTTTCTGTGATCTTTGTGTTCCTAAAAGTCCTTTGAAACTATAAAGTAACATACCAAATGTAAGCAATCCTGTCATTCTATTGTTTGAGTTTAATTTACTTTGTATCTGGATGGCTTCATCTTTTCCATCTTCCCACAAGTGGTTGCCATCCATGCAGACTTCTAGGACACTGAACTCACATGGAGAAACATTCAGTGTTCAAGCTAGACACGACTTTAGAAATCACCTGGTCCAACACCCTGCCCATTTTACAGAAGAGGAAATGCAACTAGAAGAGGGGACTGATCTGGCCCCAAGTCAAACAGTGAATCCATGAAAGAGCTGGATCTAGAACCCAAGTTTTCCGTGATCTGATCATTCTAGACCTGCCAAGAAATGGCCTACTTAATCCAGGGCAATTCCACTAAACCAGGCAGGCTCTGCATGTCAGTTAACACGTTATCTGGTCTTATCTGGGATTCATAATAGCCATAAGAGTGGAAGTGTGGGGACTGTTTGGAAAGGTGGGACACCAAATTAGCAGAGCTGCAAATGCACAGTGTGAGAGCAAATGGGAGAGGTATTAACAAATCATGAACACACCTGGAATTCTGCTCATTGGTTATCCGTTTTGTTTACCCCAACACTCTCTGTCTCCCTCCCATTCTGTCTCTATCCCATTCTTTGCCTCTTGTCTCTCTTTGCCTGCGTATTTGCCTCTGTTTCTCTACCTTTCTGCTTTCATCTTTCATTTTCTGTCTCTGTCCCTCCATCTCTGTCTTTATGTCTTTTTGTCTCTGTCTCTCCCCCATCTCTGTCTCTTTCTTTCTCTTACACAAACACACACACACACACACACACACACACACACACACACACACACACTTTCCTAATTACCCAGTTGCTGTGGGTTGGTCAGCCCCTGAGAAGCAGAGAAGTCAATGGTGGGCACTTGTGGCTTCCATTGTGATTTTTCAAAATCATAGAATTTCAGAGTTGGAAGGACCCTTTTTCAACCCTCTCAGTGAACAAGAAAACCTTCTGCATCCAATACACTAGAAAAATGATCCCCCAGCCTTTTCTTGATGAGCTCCAAAGAGGAGCAGCACAATCTACATCCTGACTTGAACCCTTACCAGCTGTGTGACCCTGGCCAAGTCACTTAACCTGTCTTGGTCTCGGTTTCCTCAGCTGTAAAATGGTAACCCAAAATAGCCCTCACCCCACAGGGTTGTTGTAAGAATCAGAGGAGATGGCATGAGTAGAGTCTTTTGCAAACCTTGAAGTGGTATAGCCATGCTAGCTGGAGGGCAGGGCCTCGCGTAATCCAAATACTGCTATGCTTTATTTCCAGAAGTGACCAGCTAAACGTGGGGGATTACATCACCTCCGTGAACGGGATCCGCCTAACAAAGCTGCGCCATGATGAGATCATCAGCCTGCTGAAGAACGTTGGGGAGCGGGTGGTGCTGGAGGTGGAGTACGAGCTGCCCCCTGCTGGTGGGTGCCTTCCGGCCCCTTGGCTTGGGAGTGTCTGCCAGAGTTAGGTGTATGGGTGTCTGCCTGGTCAATAGAGAATCTGGGTTCCATTCCTGTCACTATCTGTGCTGCCTTGGACAAGTCACTTAGCCTGTCCAGGCCTCAGTTTGCGCATCTGTAAAGTGAGGGGGTGGCTTAGATGGCCTCTATGATCCTTTCCAGGTCTAAATCTATGATGCTATCTGAAATACTTGCTATCTGTGTGACCTTGGGCAAGTCACTTAACTTCCTTAGCCTCAGTTTCCTCATCTGTCAAATAAGGGAGTTGAACTTGGTAGTTTTCCAGCTCTAGATTGATGATGCTAAGGTCTTGTTAAACATCTACCTGCATAACACAGAAAGAGGTGCATGGGGCAGTGGATGGAGTCAGGAAGACCCAGTTCAAATCTTGTCTCTGACACTTATATACGAAGGAATCCAAAGTGTTCTGGCTTAGATTGAGGGAGAGATTATTTCCAGCAGGGGTTGGGTGCAGAGTCAGGGGAGGAGGGAATCAGGTAAGCTTGATGAGGGGGTGGCCTTTGAGGTGGGCTGTTATCAGTATGCAGAGACTCAGGGAAGGCTTTGATTAAGGGAGTCCGACAGATGAGAGGAGGGCCCAGAAGCTCCAGGAGAGGGGATGGCTGAGGCCAGAGCAAGTGGGCAAGTCAGGGATTCAGGATAGCCCCAACCTCAAGCAAGGGCTTCTTTTGTGCTCCTCTACAGGACAGAGCTGATCCCTGGGCATGGGTGGTCCTGAGCTCACCTTCATCACCCCCCCTCCAGAGAGGGCTTTGCAACAGAAGGAGGGACCAGGCTTGCCATTATATGGTAACTGCAGGAGTCTCAGGGTAGCCAAGAGACACCAACTCCACACTTTGATAATCACATTAGTACCTTGGGCATCACTGACCCCTCACTTTATAGACATTGGACTTGCAAGTTAAGCTCCCAAGGGGCCTTTTGTTTGTCCTGGGCACATTGCTTACAATGTGGTTACACATCACCCCAAAACATCAATCCACCAGCTTCCTTGATTGATTGAGGCAGGTCTCAATAATGTTGGCTCAAAGGGGCAGCTAGGTGGCAGCTCCAACTTTGGAGTCAGGAGGACCTGAGTTCAAATGTGACCTCAGACACTTGACACTTACAGCTGTGTGACCCTGGCAAGTCACTTAACCCTGATTGCCTCACCAAAAAAAGGAAAAAAAATAATGTTGGCTCAGCATTTCCTCCCCTTATCCCTACTCCCACTCTGTTCTAAATAAGTCTGAGATAGATAGGGGCAGCTAGGTAGGACAGTGGATTAAGTGCTGGATTCAGAGTCAAGAAGACCTGAGTTCAGATTCAGCCTTGGACTCTTCCTAGCTGTGTGACCCTGAGCAAGTCACTTAACCTCTATCTGCCTCAGTTTCCTCATCTCTAAAGTAGGATAACAGCAGCCACCTCCCAGAGCTGTTGTGAGGATTAAATGAGATAATATTTGTAAAGCATTTAGCCCAGTGCCTGGCATGTAGTAAGCACCATATAAATCTTAACTATTATTATTCTACATCCTTGTTTATGCATTAATAAAAATCATTTCCCCCTCGTGAGGGCATAGTTCTTATACTCCTGGGTTTATTGTCCTTTCTCCTTTCCTGTTTCTAGATAGAAGATGCCCTGAAACCACCAAGACCTGCCTTTGGTTAATCAATAGGCAGTAATGTAAGAGATTGAGAAGACCTGAGGTGTAGTCAATCATTCAGCAAACATTAAGCACCTACTGTATTCCAGGAAAGCCTCTGTCGAAATAGAGACAAAATGAAACTCTCTGCTGTAGAAACAGTACTCCAGGCCTATATCAGTTGTATTCCTAGAGAGACTGATGTCATTGCAAAGGCCTGCAGGTAGACCACATATTGCTAACTTGAAGAAACTATGGGAAAATGTGTTTGTTCCCATGTAAGAATATTGTCCCAAAGCAGAACAATGGATAGCGCCTATTAGGCTTGTGATAATATTCCTAGAATATTCCAATAACCATTCAGTAACCGTGTCCTGTGACCTCATCCATCTCCTCCTAACTTTCTGTTCCCCTTTGGCAACATTGTAGTCTCCTCCGTTCTTGTAATTCTGTATCATCCCTACTTTATTCTGCGTCTTCTCATCCCCATAGCAAGACAATAAATTAGCTAGCCACGTCTACTTGGTGGGAGAATATGTGCCTTTGGGATGATTCTGCCCTTGTCTACACAAGTCATGAACATGTTTTGGATAAAGCAGAAAAATCCAGAGTATGGAATCAATTCTCAGATACCTCCCTCAAGCAGCTGTGCTTCATCACAAATTTAGAACTAGAAGGGAGATCTTTGGGTGTAACCCCTTCATTTTACAAATGAGGAAACTGAGATTCATAAAGGTTAAGCGGCTTATTTGCTCAAGGTCACCAACAGTCCTAACTGCTATTCCCAAGAACATAGCTAGCAGTGTTTGGGCTTAGGACAAGCACCTCAAAATGTGCCCAGGCCCAGGATAAATGGAGGAAATGACACAAGGCTCCACGCATGGGGAGACTCCATGATATCTATCCATGGGAAGTGACAGAGGCTGGGGACAGCATCTCCATCCCTCTCCCCTAGGACAGAGATTCTTGAATCTCCGAAGCCTGGAGAGAGAACGGGGTTAGGCCAGGGTGGAGCATGCCATCTGATAGCTTTCCCTTTTAACCGATTGTTCTTGCTAACTAGATACTAAATAATTCTTTTTATAAGCTGAAATACAAGTGTGTCAGTACCCTCTACACTTAAGCAAAAATTTTATTTGCTCACCTTTAGTTATAACTCTGGACAGGAAACTTCAGTTCTCAAGGCCTTAGTTCCTACTCTGTTAAGCAGAGGAAGGAGCTAGGATTCAGTTTGTTTCTGGCTCTAAGATTTTGCAATTCAACCATAGTTTGAAGGGTCCTTGTTTCGGAGGTGGCAGGCCTAAGGAGAGGCTGGTATAGTAAAAGAATACTTCTGTGTTTCTCCCACAGCCCCTGAGAACAGCTTAGGAATAATCCCAAAGACCATCGAGGTCTCCCTGTATAAGGAAGGCAATAGCTTTGGCTTTGTACTCAGAGGTCAGTACCTTCCACTCCCCAGGTAAGCAGCAACTTGGCATCTGGGTGAGTTCTGGGCGAGTTCTGGGCTCAGGGCTAACTCGGACTCTGCCTTGCCAAGCAGTGAGTGGTCTTTCTGACCCTTAGGGTTGGGGATAAGGGGGCCTCAACTCCAGAGTTTTTTAGCAGGGTAAGTAATGCTTGACCCAAGCCTGTACTGTGTGGGAGGCTCAGGGTTGTACCTCCAATGGTAATGGGAGAAAACAGAGAAAATGTGGGGGTAGGGTGGAGAAAGATGGATGAGGTTTCATGTATGGATGGTCTTGGCCTGTGTTTCAGGGGGAGCCCATGAAGACTGGCACAAATCCAGACCACTCGTCCTCACCTATGTGAGGCCAGGGGGCCCAGCTGACAGGTAACCACCACCTTGAGAAAGAGGTGCAGACAAGTTCAGCACATGAGTTCTCCACCTCCCTGGGAGACATAAGGGGCAGTCCTGCCTAAGAAAGTGACCTAGGTCCTTCCTGACCCCTGGATCTTTCTCTAGACTACAGATGCCCTGCAATTCCATAACCTTTAACACTTCTCCTAAATCTAAGAGTTAACCAAGAAGCGATGTGGTGGTGTGGGAATGCACTGGATTAGGAATCAGAAGACATAGGTTTCAGTCCTGGCCCTGCCATTATTAATTGTAAGGCACTGAATCTTTCTGGATGGTAATTTTCTCTTCTTCAAATTGAACAAACTAGGCTAGAGGCCCTTTAAGATCTAACTTTCTGTGATTCTGTTGTAGAGGCAGAATTGTCCCTAGGGTATGATAGATTTGGAGAATTACTGTAGGACATATCTTTTAGGGTCCCATCCTGCCAATGTTAGGCTATGACCAGGGAAGCTGCTGGTGGAGGAGAAAGAGTTGGGGCCTATTACTTGGTAATTGAAAATTTTTTTTTTAGATCCAAATTCATAAACTGCCTCCCTTCCTCCCTGCTCCTCTCTCTCTCTCTCTCTCTCTCTCACACACACACACACACACACACACACACACACATACCTGATTGTCCATATATAAATGTGTGCATGTATGTTTGCATAGTTTTGTCTGTGTGTTTTGGGTACAGGCGTGTTCAGGTATGTGCTATGTGTACCCACACATGTGACTTTGGAGAATCCTGCCTACTTTAACTCATGTTCTTCCTCCCTCTCCCAGAGGCCTGGACACTCTCATAGCCTCTTAGAAGGATGGCTTCTGGAAGGCCCATTTCAGGTCCTGATTATTATTTGGGATATGGAAAGTTATTGGATGGTAGGTAGAAAAGAGAATCATGCTGTGTCTGGAGCAGCCCCCAGCTATTTCTGCCTCCTCCTTCAATTCCAAATCAAATGTGATGAGGCAGCCAGACACTCCAGCTCCCTAAGAAAAAGCTTGAACAGAAGAATAAAATGCATCATTTTTTATACTCAAATGGCTTAGCTTCCATAGCTATTGAATTTCAGAATTGGAGTAGAAATCATCTTTTTCCAATCCTGGAAACTGAGATGCAGAGACGGGACCTGCCCAAGGTCCTACTGATCTTTTCCAACCACCTTCCACAGAATCCTGACATATGACCATTCACTTCTTTTTGAGTACTTCTAGTGATGAGAATTTCACCACCTATCAAGGTAGTATGTTCCATGATTGAACAGCTCTATTTAAAATCATAGAATTCAATAAAATGTAAGCACCTTGGGGACAGGGACTGTTTCTTTTTCATTTTTGCATTCTTACTGCCTAGCACAGTACCTGGCACATAGTAGGCACTTAGTAAAATGTTTGTGGAATTTCATCAAATCAAAACAATTTCAGAAATGAAAGGTCATCTGGTACTCATGAGGACACTGAGTTCCAGAGAGGAAAAGTGACTTGTGTAAGATCATACCATTAGCTAGTAGCAGAGTTAGGATTAGAACTCTGATCTCCCTGATCTCTGCTTCACCATAGTTCAAAAATTCTCTTATCTTGGACTGAAACCTTCATCCCTGTAGCTTTCCCTTAAGTGATGCTAATTCTGCCTTCTGTGCATACTGAAAAAAAAATCTACCTTTTTTTCCATGTGACAACCCTTCAGATATTTGAAGGCAACTTGAGTTGCCTCAGATGGTTTTTGTTTGTGTTTGTTTTGACATTTAGACATAGGGGAAATGCCTCTCTCAGACCATTACATAATAACTGTCATTCATTTCCCTATCCAGTAGGGGCTCTAGACCTGGTCATTGGGAATGCAGTTTTCTAGAACTACTCCTCCCTGCTCCAAACCAATGTAGGCTCAATCATAGTCTAAAAGGCCAATGCTATAAGGACTTTCTAAAAATCCTCTAGTCCAATCCCCTCATTGTACAAGAGAGGAAAACGAGATACCGAGAGGAGTGACCCATCCATGATCACATGTGTACTTAGTGATAAAAGCAGAATTTAAGCCCAAATCTTTTTTATTTCAAATATGTGGTAGTTTTCTATCAGACTCTTTACTAGAATGTCCTATTATTTTGTTAGTGAGAATACTTCTGTGGTTTCTTGCCTATAGTCATAATTGAAGGAAAGACCACATTTCAGATAGAGGTTAGTGAAAATAATCATGTAATTTTCTTCTCATCCAAATTCATAGACACTCCCCACCCTCCAAATCTGGATCAAACAGTCAATGAGTATTTATTGAGCATTAGCATAGTCAATGTATGTGTCAAGCAATATGCAAAGTACAAATTCAAGCAAAAAGGTAAACAGTCCCTCCCCTCAAGGTATTTACATTCTAATGTAGGAAGATAACACATAAAAAGGGAGCTAAAAAGCAGGGACCTGGGGCAGGGATGGGGATAAAGTAGGGAAACTTGGAAGGAGAGGAATGAAGTTTGTCTGGCCTGGGGCCTAAAATGGAGGCCCTTGTAGGAACTCATCAATGGGCAAAGGGGAGACACAGGGACAGAAGAATATTCCAGGGTGAGGAGGCTGCAAAGACAGAGGGAAAAGTAAAGGCTGAATTCCTAGCTCATGAAATTCAGAGCTTGAGCAAACCTTATAGCACATCTGGTCCAATCCCCTCATTTTATGGATGAGTGGTAAACTGAGGGCCACAGAGGTGAACTGGCTTGGCTGTGGTAGCAGAGACACCAATTAAATCCAGGTCTTCTGACTCAGAATCCCATGCTCTTTCCTCCAGAGACAGGTTCTCCTAGCCCATCATCTGCCAAACTTAGTTTTAACATATCCATGGAACCAAACTTGAATTACATAAAGATATAAAGCCCCAAACCATCCCAGAATATGCAGTAGAGGGAAACAGGATGACTTGGCAAAGATGGAATACTCTTGGTGATTTGGACAAGTTGGGGCTGTGAATAGCTCTTCTCCCACCCCCAAGAAACACTTTTAAAGACAGTCAGGAGAATTAAGGTGGGGATTTGGTTACTACCTGGTTAAATTAAATGTACATCTTTTAAAAAAGGAAACTCTATGTGAGAGAAGCTCACAGTTTTATATAGACAGTTCTCCGTTTTTTTTGTTCCTTCTATATTGAAAAAGTTGGTGTTTATTAAGTTCATAATAAAAGAGAATTAAAAAAAAAACAGAATTAGTACCAGGCCTTCTAGTAGCTTTGTTTCCTTTGCTGAGCAAGGGATTACTGCTTTTACGGGTTAGGCCTTCCCCTCATGGACCCCAAGACCAGACCAGGCCCATAAAAGGATTGAATTAGGAGCAGACAGTTAGAGCTGGAAGAGACTTTATAGGTCACGTTGTCCAACCTCTTCACTTTACTTAGGAGGGATCTAGGGAAGAGGGAAGTGAAGGGAGGCCTAAGGGAGTTGGTAGCCAGACCAAGACTCAAATCCGGATCCTCTGATTCTAAACCCAAACTCTGATTCCTATTTCATCAACCTGGCCCACCCCTTTAAAAGTTTGTGGGCCATCATAGCATTCATGCCAACCAAGAAATTCCAAGCTATATTTAGGCACTCTTCATACTCAGCTTTGTCCAGATATCTGTATCAGTTGTTCCTAGAATGGCCCAGGATAGGTTTATTAATAGCTCCCTCTACTAATAGCACTTGGCCACAGTTAAAATAAAACTGCCACCGCAGCGTTCTCTGCTGGTTAGAAAGTCACTCCTTGCCAGGATTGAACCAAAGTCTCTGGCTCATGGCAGTGACATGCTGAATCCTGAACCTGGCCAAACCCTAGTATGATATTGTTTGTCATTCTCCAAACCAGTAAAATTTTTGTTTTGCTTTGTTTTTAAGCAAACATCTAATGAGCTATTTTGAGCTGGGACCAACTGTGTGCATTTGTTCAAACCGCTGAAAGGGAAAGTCACAATGTTCTCCAAACAGCATCTGAATGGCCATCATTCAGCTTTAAGGCCCTGCTTTTAACTCAACCACATCAGGTTTTGGGGGAGATGATGTGCACTGGGAAGACCAGTGGTATTTAGCCATCTCCAAGTTTCTTTTAATTTTACCCCCAGCTCCAATATTCAATGTTCCAAAGTCCTTTTTGATTCTGATGTTCTATGTCCTAAGGTCCCTTTCAACTCCAATAGTCAATGTTCTAAGGTCCCTCCCAGCTCTAACCTTCTGTGTTCTAAAGTCCCTCCCAGTTCTGATATTCTGTCTTCAAAGGTCCCTTCCATCTCTGATATTCCGTGTTCTAAGGTTCCTTCCTGCTCTGACATTCTCTGTTCTAAGGTCCCTCTCACTTCTGACATCCTTTGTTTAATGGTACTTTCTAGCTCTGACTCTCTAGGCTTATCAAAGTCTCATATGTGTCTGGGTTTCCCACAGGGAGGGATCCCTGAGAATTGGGGACAGGCTGCTCAGTGTGGATGGCATCCCACTTCACAACCTGACCCACACAGATGCTCTCAACATCCTTCGACAATGCAGCCAGGAGGCCCTCTTCCAGATTGAATATGACGTCTCCATTATGGGTAAGCACTCACGGTTCTTCTGGGAGACCACCCATTGAACTGAGCCTAGGAGCTGCATGAGCTCAGCACTTAGGCCCCTAGTAATGATTCTGCTAAAGCCAGCAGTGGGTTAGGAGAGGGAAAGAAGGCATTGATGGTGATGGCAATATTGTCTTGTTACATTTTATGAAACTACAAAATTGCTTTCAATATCTTCTTATTTGATTCTCACAAGCTCTTTGTGTTATTATTACCCCCATCTGAGAGATGAGGAAACTGAGGCTCAGACTTACCCAAGGTCATACCATCAGGTGGTGGCAGGGTCTGAGACATAAACTTATTTCTCCTAAATTTTAAATCCAGGGCTTTTTTTCTATATTGCCCACCTTCCTTCCCCCTACCTTCACGGTTCCTAATTGCTTAGGCCTAGACAAAGTTGAATCAGGCCCTAAAGGAAGGTTTCCTAAAAATATGGCTTGTTGTATGACCTGGTGGGTTACTTCAGCCCCATGGGCTTAACCCAAGAGCTGAAGCCTTAATGTGCCTTTCCTACTTCATCCATGGCAAAATGAGGGTATAGGTCAAGACAGTGTCTAGAGTCCCTTCCAGCTTTCAAATCTCTGAAATTCTATAAAACTTCCTTTGATCCTCATGACATCCCTGTACCAGGCAGGGGTGGTGAATGTGATCCCCAAAGGAATACCACAAATGCTCATTTCTGGCCTTGACTCCTTCTCGGCAGCCCTGCTTCTGAAAATAACATTCCAGGAGGCACGATTCAAAGCCAGGAAAAGTATTTAATCGAAAAGGGCAGGTGCATTTGAGTGTCAGCTGAGGAAATAGGGGATGGTGTGTGGGAGCCCCCATCCCATGCAGGGTACCTCCAAGACTGCATGCCTTCAGGTCCGTTAGGTAACTTTCCTTTGGACTTTAGGGAGCTGGCCTTTCTCTCCCATGCAGCAAATGAAATTTTTAGAGTAAATAGGAATCTTCATGGTTTTGAAAAAAAGAAATTAACTTGAAAAAATATTGAATTAAAGGACTTGACTGCTTGGTAGAGCGGAGAGAGGACAAGATTGAGTTTCAAATTGCCTGGGTTTTAGCCCCCTTTCTATTTTTTATTTCTGTGTGGCCTTGGACAAATGCCATCTCTGGGCTTCATTTGCCTCTTCTGGAAAGTGGAGGTAATAATACTAACGTCATATACTTCCTTGGGTTGTTGTTAATAAGCCTGTTGGACTGGGGGAGAGAGAGAACCTCCAAACTTCTGTCATCTCTTAAATATGCTGTGCCCCTAAATCTATTATGGTGCCAGGACCCCCAGAATCTTCTGGCTTTGGTCTTAGAACACCAGCAAAGCTGAAATCAGAAGATAACTGCTTTTTTTTCCTAAGGAGAGAAATATTCAGGTGTGATCATCTGGTAGGAGAATCCTTAGCTCAGAAATGAATATGCTTAAACAGCACAGTGCCTGGCATATGAAACAAATGCTTCTTGATTGATTGTGGTACTGAATGGACCATGAGGAGGAATATTCATCCTTATTAGCCTAAGATCAGAGACAATTTCCTCGTTTTGCCGACACTAGCCCTTCACAATCTGGCCCCTTCCTACCTTTACAAAGATTCTTCTTAAACGTTATTCCTTGTAATGATGGCCCTCTACCATCAGCCATGCTAACTTACTGATTGTTGCCCATACTGCCTGGTACATTGGAGGTACTTAATAAAGACCTGTTAGTTGATGGAAACATTAACATCCATCAATAATGAGTTTTTATCATCATTGTTATTATTAGCTAGCATTAATGTATCATTTTAAGGTTGTTGCACCAACAGTTTCCCAACAAAGCAATGTGTTATCTCCTTTGATCCTCACACCGGCCCCGGGAAGTAGACACTAATTTTGTCCTGATTTTATTGAAGCAACCAGAGATTAAGTGGTTTGCTCAGGCCACAGAGCTACTGAGTGTCTGAGGCTAGATTTGAACTCAGGTTTTCCTGACTCCCAGTCCAGCACTCTATCACCCTCTGCCACTTAACTTAAAAATACATTTTTGTACAGTAATTCTAAATATATAAAACAGACAATTATTCCTATCAAGAGGATGGAAATGGATTTCCAGTCCTAAGCCTAGCAGAGCCTACTGGGGCTTGAGATAAACATATTCTTAAGTCCTAGAAAAGAGAGGATGAAAGGGAGAAATGGAGAAAAGAGAAGGAGCAGGAGGGAGGAAGGAAGACGTGGGGAAAGGGAAGGAGAAAATGAGGGAGATTGGGAGGAAGAAAGGAGGGAAGGAGAGAGGAGAAGAATGATAGGAAGGGAAGGAAGGAGAGGATGGAGAGGGGAAAAGAGAGAGAGAAGCCAGTCATGTTCCTGGCTCATTTACAGTCAGAGCAGGGCCAGGTCAGCAAGTCTAATTGTGGAATTCCAGCCTCCAGCCTTGCTCCACTCCAACCCATCCTTCATCTAGCTGCCAAAATGATTTTCCTCAGGCACAGGTCTGACCATGTTATTCCTCTGCTCAGACATCTCTAGTGGCTCCCTATTGCTTCTAGGATCAAATGAAAACTCCTTTGTTTGTCATTTAAAGCCTTTCACAGTCTAGCCCCAATCTGCCCTTTCAGACTTTTTTGCACATTACTCCCCTTTAAACATGGTGCAATCCAGCCAAACTGGATCCAGTTTGGATCCAGAAGGATCCAACCTTCTTCCTGTTTCTCATACACAACACTTCATCTCCCATTTCCAAACCTTTGTCCTGGTGGTCCCCCATGCCTGCAACATTCTCCTTCCTCACTACTGCTCCCTAGGATCTCAGATTTCCTTCATGGTTCAGCTCAAGTGCAACCTTGTTTGATCTCCTCACCAGCTTCCAGTCTTCCCCTCCCTTCCCCCCAAAACCACCCTGTATCTCTTTGGCACCTTCCTTGTAAATATCCATATAGGTCTGTGTTGTATTGTGCATCTAGATTTTAAGCTGCTTGAGCAGGGACTATTTCACTTTTAAATTTATATCTCCAGTGCCTAGCACACAATAGATAATAAGTGTTTGTTGATTAATTGAACAGAGCTTATCTACCTCCTCAAGGTCTAAAGCATTGGTTATTGAGGATCCTGTTCTGTGTCTATGATAAGAAGCCACTTCCTTAACCCATACCAGGCATCAGAAGCAAGCAGGAGGGGAATTTTCAGCTCCCAATTACGTTAGTAGAGGAAATATTTTAGGTAAGCAGGGAATTTTAGTGGGTCTTTAAATTACATAAGTGGATAGTCCTATAGGGAAAGACAGGTTATATAAACCAAATTGTTGATCCTATAGACCTTCATACCAATACAAGGCATCATTAAATTGGAGGAACTTGGTGATGCCAGGGAAAATGATATGGCTGGATTCAGTGGATTTCTAAAACCTTGGAAAAGGACTAAGGAGGAGAGGGTGGAGATTGATGGTCTGACAGCAATTACTGACAAGCCCATCAATGTTGTTGAGGATTTCTGCTCTGCAAACCCTCCCTATAGGCAGGCTTGCATCACTGTGTGGTCTGTGAGCTTTCTTGGCAGGAAACTAGTGAGACCAGGGCAGTTTGTGTGGCTGGGCAGCCCTTGGAGACCATAGAAGGGGGCAGAATGAGGCGAATCCCGGACCTATCGCCAGAGGCATTACATAGTAGCTCTGTCCAGAGTGCTAAAGGCATGGAGCTCAGGAGAGCTAGCCATCAGTCCACAGAATAGGCTGTTGGGGGGTCTTGAGTGAGTCCTTTGTGCTGTGTAGAGTGATGAAAAAAGAAAATCACTGGAGGAGACTTCAGAAGATCTGGGGTCCCATGGAACTGATTTTGTCATTGTTGTTATGGCTTTAAAACTCATTATAGTGTCCACTGAACAACAAAGTGATGGAAATAAATGGAAACCAAGACTAGCTAATAGCATATTTTCGTTTCTCCCTTGTGGGGAATTTCTTACTTGAACTAGCTTCATAGATGTTTTTTCCAATAGATGTTTTTTCCAATATCAGGGCTCTGGTTGTTAACACTTTTATCTCTTTGTCCTATAGAATGTATGTTTCTTAAGGTCCAGGACATCTTTGTCTTTAATTGCCTAACACAGTGCCTGGCACACAGTAGGCACTTAATAAATGTTAATTGAGAAGGGAAAGTTCTGAGCATTATTCAATTGAACACTTGTTAATCATCTAATTTGCTTCATGTTTACTTGAATCACTTTAAAATTACTTTGGACACAACAGCCTTGTTCTAACTGTTCTCCTAATTTTGCTAAACCACAAGTCTCTGACTGCTGTTTGTTTAATCAAGCCATTCCCCAGGGGGTGAGGCAGGCTTCTGTTCCCTTTCTAGAGATGATGTTTCCTCTAAGTGTGTTTCATGACCTAGCAGTAGCCCATTTAGGGATTTCTTGGTAAAGGTAGTGGAGTGGTCTGCCATTTTCTTCTCCAACTCATTTTACAGATGAGGAAACTGAGGCAAACAAGGTTAAGTGACTTGCCCAGGCTCACATAGCTAGTAAATGTCTGAGGCTGGATCTGAACTCAGGTCTTTCTGACTCCACGCCTGGTGCTCTATCTACTGCATCATCCACAGATCTATAACTGGCCTGCCTAAAGCCAGTAAAAATTACCTGTAAAAATGGGTACAACTGTGATTGAATCACCTCATCCTTCTTCCTCTCTACATACCAAATAAAATATATGCTCCACTGATTCCCAAAGGTAACCAAATGCCACCCCCAGCCCTGTCCCTGCTGGTGCTCATGTGAGACATCTTAAAGTCAGGTAAATGACACAGAAGTATACCTTCTGTATGTTGCAGAAAGAGCACAAATTTTGGAGGTAAAGGACCTGGGTTCGAATCCCCTCTCTGATATGACCAGTGTGACCTTGGGCAAAACACTCAATCTGCTCAGGCCTCCATTTCATCCTTTGCCAAATGAGAGGGTTGGACTAACTAAGTCCTCTTCCAGATCTATGGTCTTATGACTTAACAATTTGGGTGGCCATAGGCAAATCACCTAAACGTTTTGAGCCAGGCTTTCCTCATCTGTAACATGGACTGGAATAGGTCATGTGTAAAGGACTCTCTAGCACTAATACACATGCTGTTCCATCTTCCTTTGAGGCATCAGCCCCACCTCCACCCCCACCCCTGCAGCCACCTGGCACCTTCAGGGTCTAACCCTTACTTTATCAGAATAGGCTCTAAAGGACCCCCAGTGCCTAACACAGATGTGATAGAAATTTGGCAAATTCTTGTGAGTTGGTTAATTCTTTAATCCAAATCCATTACTTTATAGGTGAGAAAACTAAGTCTGAGAAGTGTTCAATGACTCACCCAAGGTCACACTGCAATTAAGTGACAGAGCCATGACATACGTTCCCATTCTCTGGCCCCCCTTTACCTGTCACCTCCCATAACACTCTCTTATTGAAACCCTAATCCTGTTCAACCTCCGTTTTTTCTCCACCCCAAACACCTTAGAGAAGAGTCCTAAGATATGAAAAAAGGTGTGCAGAGGAGAAAAGTGTGAAGGGAGGGTCACAAAGTTACCCTCAAAATTCAGTCTGAAGAGTGAGAAAAGAGCAAGAAAAGAAGGGAAATAAGAAATGAAAATAAATCACCGTGGGGTAGAGATTGGGGCAGACATTCTGTTCCTTCAAATCCCTCCCCCCACCCTCAGTTAAGGTGCAGACATCATAAAACCTTAGGTTATGGGGAATAAAGGTGGCAGCATCTCCTGAAGGGAGCTAGGAGCTGATTTTGACTCTGACTCTAATGCTGGCCTGTTCTGTAACCTTGGACAAGTCACTTCTACTCTGAGCCTTAAATTCCTCATCTCTAAAATGAGAGGCAGCTGGGTGGTGCAGTGGATAGAGCACAGGGCTTGGAATCTGGAAGACTCATCTTCCTAAGTTCAAATCTGGCCTCAGACATTTATTAACTGTGTGACCTCGGGCGAGTTTGCCTCAGTTTCTTCATCTGTTCTCCAGCTCAGAAGGAAATGGCACACCACTTTAGCATCTTTTCAAGAAAACCCCAAGCAGGGTCACAAAGAGTTGGACATGACTGAAATGACTGAACAAAAACAAAATGATGGAGTTTGACAGATAATCTCTCTAACTGATAGACTTCAAAGAGGAGGCAGAGAAATGGCAGAAGGAGAACAGCTGTTCAAAGTAACTACCCCCTGGACCAAAAGAGAGCACCCCAATATTCTCTTGATCCTGGTCATCAGGGGCGTTGGCATGGCCAGAAGCTATGCTAGAGTGTATCCATGTGAGGAGGAAGGTCTGAGAAAAGATTGGGGGGTGGAGGTGGTGTCAGATTTGAGTGATTCGTGACATGGTAAGGAGAGAGATTAGTCAGTTGATTATACTTCAAGATGAGAAAGCACAAAACTGTGTGTGTGTGCGCGCGCGTGTGTGTGTGTGCGCGTGCGCGTCTGTGTGTGTGTGTGTGTGTGTGTGTGTGTGTGTGTGTGTGTGTGTTGGAAGATGGGGTTGGGGGTAGCTCTCTACATAATTTAAGGGCTAATTTTTGGACTTTTGGATTTGAGTTCCTGGAAGGTATAGGTGAACTTGCATACAGTGAGTCCATTGCGGCTGTCATCCAGGTGACAAGGCTGAGCTATACTAGGTCCTGATGCATATTTCCTATTGAGCGATTTGAGCATTTAGGCACTGTGATAACCACACCCTTACAGAAATAGATATCTGTGACTAGATGTCTGCTATCTAGAAGGGTATGTAGGGTACTTCTCTCAAATGGGAAGCTATTAGGCTGGCCCATAGGTGTACAAAGCACAGGAACTGGGTAGAACTGGGTGTGTCTGTCCAAACTTTGGGTGAGACCTATGCTGTAATCTCTCTGTGCAGAAGAAAGCCTGGCTGAGCAAGACAGGAGTCAGGAATAGAGATGGGGTCCAAGTCCAGGCACGGTCCTTACAGAAGCTGCAGGGCACAACAGAAAGAGCATTTGACTAGAAGTCAGGAGTCCGGGCTCTGCCACTAACTCATCGTGTGACCCTCTGTGGCCTCAGTTTCCTCATTTATAAAATGATATGGTTGTCTTAGATCAGGGATTGCCAACACACACTCTCAAAGTGTATAAGAAGCTTGTCAAGAGAACACAGGAAACATCTTGATTTTTCTTTTTAGAATTGATTCCCAATCAATTAAGTGACAAAAGTTTTGGTGAATCCTTTATTTATGTTCGTGGTGATATCCATAATTAATTTTTTGTCATATTGAATAAGTGCAATAAAGTTTACTGAAATCCAGCACTGCAGGGACCAGAAAGTTTGGGCATCTCTGGATGAGATATCTTTAGGGTGTTTTCCCACACTAACACTTTATGCTTTTCTGATTCTATCCACTCTGTAGGCAGCAGTGAGCAGATTAGCCCGGCTTTAAGGGGGACCTAGAATAGGGGGACAACAGTGACAGTTGGCCTTCTTGCATCTATGGTGGGCCTGTATACCGGGGCCTCGTTCTCCGTTTTGTCTTTTCTTCTTGGAGTAAAGGGAAGCAGCAGCCAAGACCCCTTCCTACCTAGCCCTGCAGTCCCCAGGTTCACACTGACTTCCTCTCTTTTTTGTCCTCATCTCAAACATACCCTGTTCTACTCCCCAGATACGGTAGCCAACGCCTCAGGTCCTTTATTAGTGGAAATAGCCAAGATGCCGGGCTCTACTCTGGGAATCTCGCTCACCTCTGGCACCCACAGGAACAAACAGGTCATTGTGATTGACAAGATCAAGCCAGCCAGCGTGGTAGACAGGTACGGCAGTTGTCCCACAGGCCCCTAGACCAGGGCCTCAAGGAAAACTTCCAGTCCTCTCCTTCTTCATACCATCCCCCATTCCATCCCAAATTCCCTTCCCTAGAATCAATGCTATTGAGAGAAGGGGCAGGCCCTAGCCCTATCCTCCCCCTTCCTCAAGATGGCGGGGCAGTGGAAAGAGCACTGGATTTGGAGTCAGAACACATGGGTCCAAATCCCAGGTCTGCCTCTTACTACCCATGGTTGGGATAGCTGCTTTCTCTCTCTCTAGGCCTCAGTTTCCTCATCTGTGAAACGATGGGTTTGGGCCAGTTGACTTCTGGGGTCCCTTCCTTCCATCTCTTTATCAGCTCTCCTATGATTCTAGGATGACTGTCTCCCCGTATGTACAAGGCTGTGAGCCCATCAGAAACAAACTCTCCTCGACACCCACACTCCACACTTGTTTTCCCCTGGAGCTGCATCTGGCTCTCCCAGCTGCCTTTTGCCTCCCTGCCGGTCTCCCCTAAGATACAGGGCTGCCCACCAGGCCCAGCCCATTGTCCTCCTGTCCCTCCTGCAGCCCTGGGGCTCTCATGAGCCTGTCTCTGTTCCTCTCTGCAGGTGCGGGGCCCTGCACATTGGCGACCATATTCTGTCCATCGATGGCACCAGCACCGAGCACTGCTCCGTGCTGGAGGCAATGCAGCTGTTAGCCAGCACCACAGAGAATGTCAAGTTGGAGATCCTGCCAGCTCACCAGAGCAGGCTGCCCCTGAAGCCTCCTGATGCAGGTGGGTTGGGCCCAGCTCCGTGGCTGGGCAGACTGCGCAGCCAGCCAGCAGCATGTAGGAAGCTGGCCCTGGCACTTCCTCAAGATGCCAGGAGCAATTTCGTTGGACTCAAACAGCAGCTGAGGGCATCTGCTGGGCAAGTCCCTGTACCTGGCCCTGGGTGGGGAAAGGAAGGCAAAACATGCTTGAAAATGTGGTTCTTGCCATGAGCTCAAACGGCCCTTAGAACTCATTCAATCCAACCCCCTCATGGAACAAGCTTAGAAACTGAAGCACAGAGAGAATTCATTTGCTTAATGTCACACACTTAGGAAGTGGCAGAGCTGAGACTTGAACCCAGGTCTTCTGAGCTCTAATCCAGTGTTCTTCCCACTACATTACCTGAGAAATAGAAGGCCCTTTAGAGTCTAGCTTTGCATAGAAACAGAAGATCATAGATTTAGGACTGGAAGGGACCTCAGTGACCCCTCTAGTCCAATCCCTTCATTGACAGATTGGGAAACTGAGGCCCCGAGAGGATAAGGGAGCAACCGAGGCAAGACTTGAACCCAGGTCCTCAAATTACAGAACAATTTACTCTTTCTACTTTTATCACACTGAAGTGACTTCAGTTCAAGGTCACAGGACATGGTAGTTGTAGGTCTGGGATGAGCTCCCAGATCTCCTGACTCACAGTTCAGGGTCTCATTTGTTGCCTAACATATTCTCTGCCTTATACAAGTTATTTTTATACACATCTTTAGTTGTTTACATGTTATCTCTCCTATTAGACCATGAGCCCCCTAAGAACAGGGAATGCCTTTTTCCTCTCTGTGTCCTCTGAGCCTAGCACAATGCCTGGCACACAGTAGGTATTTAATAAATGTTTGCTGACTGACTGATCTCTCTTATTTTAGTCTAAGATCCACAAGGGTGGTTACTATGTCATATGTCTGTCTATCATCATAATTATCATCTTTTTTTTTTGGCCTGGATCTATGTTTTCATTGGTATAGGGAATTGTAGATGAAGAAACTCTCTCTATTCAAGGCAGGTTCCTTCATCCCTTTGTAGAAGAAAGGCCCAAAGACCCAGAGAGAAAGTGATAAATCTGATGGTAGAGCTACCATATGAGCCAGATCTCTTGGTCTCCTGGATCCCAAACTCTGTCTGCTGCACAAGGTGGGGAAGAGGACAGGGAAGCAGATGAAAGAAGGCAAGGAGGAGAGGGAAACATGAAAGATGTTTCTTCAGAAAGGGGCAGGCAGCCCAACTGAAGGCCAGAGAAAGAGCCAGAGACCTTGGGTGGGAGAGGGCATGAGGAGTCCAAGTACCCCCAAACCCCCCCAACTGAAGTAGATGTCTTCTAAACTCCCATCTAGCTCATGCAATTAGAACCAAGAAAGGAGAAAGTCCCAGGCAGAAGCCTTCAGGCTCCAAGCATAGCTTGGGGAATTAATGGAAATTCAAATTTACCTCTCCATTCCATTTCTGGAATGGCATCCTCCATACCATTCCTGAGTTGGATGTAAATAGTAGGAGAAAGGAATTCATTGGAGCAGCTGAGCAAGGCAAAGAGGAATGTGATGCTGTCCGGGGTCCGTCTTCCCATGATGCACTAGTAAAAAATAAGTTAAGCTGACAACCTACTGGCTACTTGAACCAATAAATTGGTCTAGAGATGGTGGGGAATGATGTACTGCTAGTGAGCAGTACATCCTGGCATTTTTCCTGGTCTTGGTCAAAAGCCTTAGTAATGTTCTAAATCATGGGAGCCAGAGAAAAACTAAGCTGGAATCTTCTCTCCTAGACCTTCTCAGATTCCATTGACCTGAGCCTCTCTTCCTACCTTTGACAAATATTTGAGTACCTTAAAGCATGGTGTCAAACTCAAATAGAAACAGAGGCCATGAAACCATAGGTAAGGATTTCTGCAGGCTCTATATTGGCTTAGTTTCAAAATGTAATATTTTACCTATGGTCTATTGTATTTTTATTTATTTTGTCAAATATTCTCTAATTAGAGTTTAATCTGGCTCAGGCCACACTTGGGAATGTGTGTTTGACACTTCTACCCTAGAGCTTAGGCTGCTGAAATGTTTATGTTCAGAAATGAGGGGAATCAATTACCTTCAACATTCATTACCTGTGTTGCAAGTCATAGCTTCTTGAAGCCTCAGTTTTTTCATTTTCAGAGTGAAGGGTTTGGACTATGATTACCTCTGAAGTCCTTTCCAGCTTTATATAACATGATCCTAAGAGAAGATTTGGGGGAGGAAGGTTGTCAAACCTTATGTAGGGTGCACAAATGTCTCACCAGAGTTCTGATGAGCCAGGAGAATCAAGCTTATAGAATCCTAGATCCTAGAATGTTGGAGCTGGGGGGCATCTTGGAGACACCCACGTCTGATTCCCTCTCTTACAGATGAGACAACTGAGGATTAGAGGGGGAATTAACTTCCTCAAGGTAGTGTAGATAGTAGTAGCAGAACTCAGATTCAAACTCAGATTATCTGACTCCAAATCTGGGGTTCTTACCACTATACCATAGTGGAAGGGTTTGTCTTTGACAATTTTGACACTCAGGAGTCAGAAAGAGCCCACCAAACTGCCCACCCCATCCCAAGTAGTTATTTGCAAAAGAGTGGGTTGGGGGCAAAGAAAGAGGTAAGCCCTATGTCTGAGGAGACAAGCCCTCTCTGACCCATCCCTTTGTCCATCTTCCCTCAGAGGCCCAAACCAGTGGCTTCAGGTGCATTACCAATTGGGATAGTCACTTCTGCTCTCTATGACTGGCTTTGCCTCAGATTATACAGCCCCTAATGCCCATGCCATCTCTTTCTCTTCTTTCTCCCCTCTTCCTGTTGGGCCTTTCTTATCTATCTTGGGTCGCTTGTGGTCTGGACACAGTGAAGGTGCAGAAGAGTGACCATCACCACTGTTGGGACCCCTGTGTCAACTACTGCCCCAGCCACCATCCCAGCCATTGCAAGACACCCACCTGGAATCAGCCCTCCAGCCAGGATTACTGCAAACGTAAGAGTTTGGGCCAACCCTTGGATCTGGATGGCTAAAGGCTCATATGAGAATCAGAACCAGTGGCAACCTCATTATTTTTTCTCCCACTCCACTCCCACTTCTGACCCAGGCAGTGAGCCTGGATTAAAAATGGAATACTCATCTATCTGGAAATTGCCATGATTGAGGTCAATGAAATGAGCATTCATTAAGTACTTACTGTGTGTCTGTGCAAGGCACTGTACTAGGTACTAGGAATACAAAGATAGACATACTTTCTTCCCTTTTAGAATGTAGAGTCCTTAAGGGCAGGGATTTTTACACTTTTGTCTTTATTTCCCTAGCACTTAGCGTGAGTCCTGGCACATAGTAGGTCCTTAATAAATTCTTGCTGATGGATTGATTGTTCCAGTGAGGTTGGTAACACATACACAGATAAATGTAATACAAGGTGGAGCATAGGATAATACATCATCACATAGGTGTAGCCAGGATTTGAACCCAGGTCTTCTAACTCTGGAACCAGTTTATTTCCCCTGTACCACACTGCCGTCATAATTCAGTTAAGTCATTTCTATATATGGAATGTAGGAGCTGGGGTTATATGGATTTAAAACAACACAGTGCTTGTCCTTAGGAAGCCTACAGTGTCATAAAAGGGCATGAACCATTTGCAAATAGCATTAATTAGAATCAAGCATTGCAATTGAATTCATTACACTAATAATAATTAGAACAACAGCAATATGATAACTAACACTAACAATTAGAATAACAACAATATAATAACTAACATTTATTAACAATTAGAATAATAACAATAATATGATAACAAACTCTAACAATTAGAACAATAGCAATAATATAATAACTAACACTTAACCGACAATTAGAACAATAATAACAGCATGATAACTAGCACTTACTAACAATTAGAACAATAATAACAATATGATAACTAACACTTACTAACAATTAGAACAATAATAACAATATAATAACTAACACTTACTAACAATTAGAACAATAACAACAATATGGTGGCTACCACTAACAATTAGAACAATAGCAATAATATAATAACTAACACTTAACCGACAATTAGAACAATAATAACAATATGATAACTAGCACTTACTAACAATTAGAACAATAATAACAATATGATAACTAACACTTACTAACAATTAGAACAATAACAACAATATGATAACTAACACTTACTAACAATTAGAACAATAACAACAATATGGTGGCTACCACTAACAATTAGAACAATAGCAATAATATAATAGCTAACACTTACTAACAATCAGAACAATAACAACAATATGGTGGCTACCACTAACAATTAGAACAATAGCAATAATATAGTAGTTAACACTTACTAACAATCAGAACAATAACAACAATATGATAACTAACACTTACTAACAATTAGAACAACAACAGTAATATAATAACTAACACTAACTCTTAAGGTTTATGAAGTGCTTTACATATATTATCTCATTTGGTCCTCACAACAACCCTGGAAAGTAGGTGCTATTATTATCCCTACTTTACAGATCAGAAAAGAGTTAAAGGTTAAATGACTTGCCCAGGGCTACAGCTGTCTGAAGCAGGACCAAACTCAGGTCTTCTTGACTCCAGACCTAGAGTTCTATCTGCTTGTCTCAAAATGAACCAAGGATTCTTAACCTTTTCTGGGTCATACGCTGCTTTAGCAATGTAGTGAAACCATTAGAATCTGCAGAGTAATGCTTTTACAGGAATTAAATGCATGGGATTACAAAAGGAAGCCAATTATATTGAAATACAGTTATCAGATTATTAAAAATAACGAGCTCACAGACTCCAAGTTAAGAACTCCTGGTCTAATGAGTACCAAGCACTATGCTAGGTACTAAGAGAAATGCAAAGTTTAGATCAATTATATAATGGTTGCCCTCATGGGGCTTATAGTCCAGTCATAATACACGCATCGAAGAGATATAAACAAAAAGAGTGCCAAGCCTCAGGAAGAAAAGGGTATTCATCATATATGATCAGGAAAGGCTAATATGCAGGGAACGGCATTTACATCTGAGAAAGGTTTTAAAGTCTGGGTAGAAATTTGGGGGACAGTAAAAGCCAAGGCAGGGGAGTAGGAAATGGTACATTTGGTAAATAGTTAATCTTATTTTCAAAAAATGAAATCAACTGCTTTAGGTACAAGAGGGAGAAAGGGGCTCAACACCAGGTCAGCTCTTATGGTCACCCTGTAATAACAAAACATGATGCATGGTGACATGGTGCATCCTATGTCAGAGAAGCAATAGAAACCCAGAAAGATCCATTTTCTGGTTATGTCAGGGAGTAAAAGCATGGACACCCCTGGGCTTCAATATTATTATACTATTAATTAAGCTAAAGGTGACTTGAAGTCAGAAAAAGGGAAATTTTTTTAACAAATTGTGAACATCCTAAAGTTCTAGATGTTTTTTTAAATGAATGGGCCCCTGTTAAGCCCTTGGAAATGTAGAGCTCAGTGGCATCCAGTCAGGTATGTTACAGAGTTGGGGATGGGCTTGAACTTTGCCACATCATTCAACCACGGTTAACTTTCTTCCCAGCCCTGTCTGCAGCCCCTTTCTCCTCACCGATGCTGAATGCTCATGGCTTCTCTTGCCCGAGCTCGAGCACACTACCTCGGAGCACCCAACCCATGAGCCCCCGGGCAACCATGATGAGGAGAAGACAGAGGAAAAAGGAGTACAAAAGTTCATGTAAGGAAACTGACCCCAAATAGACGTGTGTCTTTGGGTCACTTATCCTCTCTGGTCCTCAGTTTCTCTATCTCTAAAATGAAAGGATTGACCTAGATATTGTCTAAGATTTGCATTATGAGGTCTCTTCCAGATCTTGAACATTCTGTGTCTTAAGTCCTCTTCCAGGCCTGGCATTTTGTGTTCTAAGGTCCCATCTGTCTCTAACATTCTATACTTTCATGTCCTTTCCAGTTCAGATACACTACTTTAGCTCTGAGATTCTACGAATCTAGCCCTCTCCCCACTTTCCTCCACTAATTGGGCTATCTCCCCAGATTCTTTGCAGTTACCTTGGCTATCACCCCTGAAGAAGATTCTGGGTCCTACTCTTTTAGGACTATTTATTCTTATTATTACTTTTTAGGATTTGTTCCCTCTGCTGCTAAAGAGAGATTTTTAGAATCTTGCAGGCTTAAGCATGATCCAAACTAAGACAATTTGGGGTCAAGCCAACCATAAGTCATCTTTGGGGAGCAGAAAAATGAAGCACTTGGAAGGAACCAATTATGACAATTGGGCGTTGAGTTGGGCTTAAAGTATCCTGGTTCCATTTATAACATAGTGTTATTAGGAAAAATGCATTCTAAGGTCCAAAGTGGGATGCCAAGAGCGTATAGCTTTCTCATCCCTGCCGGCCTATGACATTTACTTTTCCTAAAATAGGCTCTGAAGTCAGGCATTCTACTGTAGGACAGGGAAAAACTAGGACCAACAAGAGGTGTACATAGTCACAGAAAGGCAAATATTTTGCCTCAGCATAAGGAAGAACTTCCTCACAATGAGAGCTGTCCAATCACAAGATACAGGTACCTAGGAAAACAATGAGATCCCTGTTACCAGAAGCATCTGAGCCGAGCTTGAATGACTACATGACTAGGGGCTTTGACTAGACAATCTTTAAGGTACCTTGCAACTGACAATGTGCTGATAAAATTTTTAACAACCAACTCTAGGGGGGGAAAGCATATGCACGACACAGTTTAAGTTTGATCTATGTTATTGATAATTTCTCCAGCCCTATCTTAAGTCTAGACAGTGAACAAAACAATAAACCAAGCCCTGATTTGTAGTATTTGCCGACTTCTGAGGTGTAAAATGCTTCCACTGAAAATGTAACATTTCACTCTCTTGAGCTGGTGTGAGCTGGTTTCAGCATCCTCCAGCTTAGGGCCCTAAGTTTGTGAATATGTGACGGAGAAATCAATGTACTGTGGGATAGTGCAAAGAGTGCTGAACTTGGAGCCAGGAGACCTGAGTTCAAATATTAGCCCTGACATTTACTAGCTATGTGACTGTTGGGAATTATTTCATCTCTCTGAGCTTTCACTTCCTCTCTCCTAACTGCCTCGGGAGTTGTAAGCACTGTGCTTTGTAAGCCTTCAAAGCATGGGTGACCAGAATTAACTCAAAGCGAATTCGGACAACCCTCAGATTTAAACAGTGGCTATTGTCTTTTTCCTACACGAGGTATAGTGGAAGATGACATCTTTCTTTTGTGACGTTTGGACTACGCACGTATTCGCTGCTTTTCTGATGTGACCTTAAATACTTAGTCCCTGTAGGACAATGTAGATTGGCCCAAATTTCAGGCAGCAGAGATACAATGGGAAGAGTATTCTGGCATCAGAGGACCTGGGTTTGAATCTGACCTCCGACATTTACAACTTTTGTGACCTTGGGCAAGTCACATAACCTTCCTGAGACTCAGTTTCTGCATCTGTAAAATGAAGAACTTGGATGATATGAACTCTGAGGTCTCTTCCAACTTTAGACCCATGATAACTCACTAACCATGTATTGCTCAGATTAGGAAATTTAGGTAGAAAAGGGATTCTTGTTTTACATGGGAACTGGATTATGTGACTCCAAAGGTCCTTCCAATTCTGAGGTTCTGGGATCTGCTGAGTGTAAGGTTGCCCTCCCCATCCCTTCCTCTCTCTTTGCTTCACTTTACCCATCATTATCCTTCTGAGCAACAAAAAAGAAGAGGAAGAGAATAAATATTTATTAAGCACCTACTACCTGCTCAGCTTTTCACAAATATTCTCCCACTTGGTCCTCACAGCAACTCTATGAGGTAGGTGCTATCATTATCCCCATTTTATACTGATGAAACTGAGTCAAATTGAGGTTAAATGACTTGCCCAGAGTGACATACCTAGTAAGTGCCTGAGATCAGACTTAACTCAGGTCTTCCCAACTCCAGGCCCAGCACTCTATCCTCTGCTGTACCTAGCTGCCTTCCAAAGGGTAGAAGCTTTCATTAAGGATGTTTCATTCCAGGGAGGAATAAAGGGTGGTAGAAGATATTATTAAGGTAACAAAGGGAAAGTCAAGCCCACTGTCTAGATTCCTTATAAATGCTAGGAGAATAGACTGAGCAGTGAAAGAAAAGCCCCCTTGAGTGTTCTGGCTTACAGATGCTAACCTAATCTATCTTTCTGTTCTTTCAGTGTCCCTTGCCTCCAGCACTGTGGGGCCTGGTGGCCAAATCGTGCACACAGAAACAACAGAAGTAGTCCTTAGGGGTGACCCCCTGAATGGCTTTGGACTCCAACTCCAAGGTGGAATCTTCGCCACAGAAACCCTTTCTTCCCCACCTCTCATCCGCTTCATTGAGCCCGACAGCCCTGCTGAGAGGTTAGATCTATCCCTTAGGAACCAGAACCAATCCAGCTTTCAAACCAACAAGTATTTCTCCAGACCCAATTCTGCTACTGGAGGCTACAGGGAAGAGAAGAACAAGATGGCCCTAGAATTCCAGACACTTGTCCTCATGTGGCTTAAGATTTAGTTAGTCACATGTCAAACAGAGATAACATGTAATCAGATGCCAATTTGAGGGACGGGGTAGGAACTGGACCTATAATCTTAATGATGTAAGATATGATATATAAGATAAGATAATGATATAAGAAATTCTCTCCACCTAGAAGTAGGTTGACACCTTCTCTATAACTTAAACATTCTAGAGAGCTGCCCAGTGTCATGCAACCAATATGCATCAGGAGAAGACTTCAACCCAAGTCTTCCTGCCTTCAAGGCATGCTCTCTATCCACTACATCCCTATATGTATGATACATGCAATGGGGGTCAGGGAGTTCAGAAACTAATGTGTACTGGAGTAGTCAGTAAGAACTTCCTGAAGGAAGATGCTCTTGAGTTGGGCCTTTAATGCTGCCTAGAATTTAAGCAGGTGGAGAAGAAAGGGAAGGGCACTGTAGATAAGAAGAATGGCCTGAGTAAAGGTGTGGAAGTGGGAAATAGTCTGTGTGGAAACCATCCTGACTGGAGCAGAGGATGGATATAATCGAGGGATAATTAAGTTAAATAGATAGGTTTGAAAAGGCATCTAGTTAGCACCAGCCCTGAAGTTAGAAGGACCTGAATTCAAATCTGGCCTCAACACTTACCATCTGTGTAACCCTGGGCAAGTCACTTAACCCCAATTACCTCCAAAGAAAAAAAGAGAGAGACAGGTTTGGTTCAGAGCTTTGAATGCCAGGCTAAGAGGATTTGGGGCTTGATCCAGTAGGTACTAAAGGGCTAGGCCTCTCTACACACCACAACTCTGCCAGCAAGACTCACTGGGACAGAGACTTAAGCTGTAGCAAGCCCTTGGCTTAGTTTTAAATCCAATTTGCAATTATAACAGGCTTTTCTCTGTCAATTAAGCAGAAGAGGCTTACACTACATGAGGGATGTCTCAAAGTCTAATTTCAGAGATGTTGTAACACAGATTCTACTGGGGAAGCCAGTTCTACTCCCCCAGACTCCCCAAGTTCCTAGGCCGAGTCAATCTGGAAGATAGGATTGTTAAGTCAACTTGTCAAAGAGCGGGGAGAGAGGTCTACGTCTGTTTCTCTGTGTGTTTGTAAAAATATGTTTGTGTTTGTATTGTGTACTTATCTCTGTGACTTTGAGAAAATGTGTGCTTCTGAGTGTGTCTGTTGGTAAGTATGCTTGCCTCTGAATGTCTGTGTGTCTGGTGGTCTAAGTGTCTGTATGTATAGCAAGTGCTAAGATTGACCAGACAGACTGTGGAAGGCTTTGAATCCCAGGTCAGGACTTGGTTCTTAAGTGTTAAGCAATTGTCTTTTGCATTTTTGGAGAAGCTTTAATGGGCTATGCCAGAGACTAGGACTTTGGGGATTTCAATCTCCCTTTTCTCAGCTGTCACCTGTCCAAGAGAGTACAGCTGTGGCTTAGAGACTTTCAAAGTCCTCCTTCATCGTGACCCTTATCTCATGCAATAGTAGGCTAGTCACCTTGCTGTGAAGTCATTGCAGCAGTGAGGAACTCTGGGAGGAAACCAATCTCTGCTCCAAGTCAGTGCCCAGAGGACTATGACTAGATACCTAAAAATCCTGAAAGACGAGATAAAAACCAGCCTTCAGAACTATGCCAAGTCCAAGGCCAGACTGATGAGGGCTGGGGCTGTAATTATCCTGGGCTGCTTTGGACTTATTCCGTCTCTGCAGACTCACAGGTCATTTCCCCCAAAGAACGTGACCTATTATCAAAATGCCACCCCAGACACGCTGGACTTCAAGCTATCAAATTGTCCAGGCAGCGTAGGAAATCAGGCCAAGTGTCCTACTGTCACAACTGACTTGGGACAATTGAGAGAAGCCTCTGAAACACCACAGAGTTGTAGAAAGTGCCTAATTTTTCATCTTGAACTTGGCACTTGATTATATTCTGTCTCTCTTTGACATATGAGTCAAAAGACTTGATTTCAAATCCTGGCTCCACTTGTGTGATTCTTGGGGAAGTCATTTCCTCTTTTCTGAGCCTCAGTTTCCTCATTTGTAAAGCATGGGTGATGGATGAAATTATCTGCTCTGAATAGCACGATTCCTCTATACTCTAGAGTCACAAGATCATAGATTGAAACCAGAAAGGAACCTCTTGGAGGTCATCTGGTCCAAGCCTTTCACTTACATGATGGAAGGCAGAACCCATTGGTCCAAATAGCTTGTGTTTCTGGGGCACCTGAACCTGCAGGGTATCTAAGTCACTCTGTGTGTATGTGTGTGTGTGTGTGTGTGTGTGTGTGTGTGTGTGTGTGGTGTGTGTTAGGAGAGAAGCTGCCTATAGAAACATAAGACTTTTTACTCCGACCTCTGGACAGCATTCAAAAAGGCCCCAATGAGTTCCTGACTACGTGACCTAAGAACCTGGGCCTTTGGGCCTCTCTGACCATGCCGAATTAAAAAGCACTGGGGGTGTTGTTTTCAAGGTTATAGTAATGAAAAGGGCATCAAACAAGCAGTCAGGAGACCAATAGGATGCAATACTTTTAACACAAGTAAGTTTCCTCTCTCTGGCCTCAATTTCCTTATCTGGAAAATGGAGAATTTGGACTTGATGGTCTCCTCTGTTCCTTCTAGACCTAAAATAGAAAAGCAAAAGTGAACTAAAGAGATGGGCTAGCTTACACTCATATCACGCTTTAAGGTCTACAAAGTGTTTTGTAGTTATTGTCTAACTTGAGTGAGGTGCTTTATTATCCCCACTTTACAGAGGGAGAAACTGAAGAACTGAGAAGTGAAGTGATTTGCCCAAGATGATGATGATGATAGCTAGCATTCATGTATTGTTTTAAGATGTACAAAGCAATTTGCATATGTTATCTCATTTGATATTAAAAAACAGCCTTGTAAGGTAGGTGCTATTATTATCCCCATTTAATGGATGAAGAAACTGAGGTTGAAAGAGGTCAAACAGCTAGCCCAGGGCTACACAGCTAGGAAATATCCAAGGCAGGATTTGAACTCAGGTGTCCTTGATTCCAGGTCCAACAGGTGATTCAGTGGCAGGCCAAGTTGCCTCCTAGTATGATGATGTCTTAGTCTTAAGACCTGGATTCTTCAGAAATTTGTAATGTCACTAATGGGGGGTCTCCCTCTAATGCTGGAGATCTCAAATCTGTAATTCAGTAGAGAGTCTACAATTATTGCCATGGCCAAAGTAGTCCATGTCTTGGAGCCAAGTTAGTAAGGACCCTCTCCAGACTTAGCCAGGCTAAAACTAGGAAAAGAGATACATGATTGGTTACAAGATCTTTTCTCCAAGTCTTTCCAGCTTTGTGGCATCTGAAGGGTGTTGGTGTTAAGAAGAACAGGGTCCTGCAGATGGAGAAGTGGTTTGTCTTTCTTGTCCATGGGAACGAGCCAGAATGTCACTACCCTCCCCTCTCCCTTCCCTTCTCAAGTCACAGAGGAAACTGACCCAACACTCTGCTAAGCAGCAATGCATAAGAAAGGTCAGGCACAGGCTCTCCCCATTGTCTTTGTTCTGTGAACCTTAAAACATGACCTAAATTTGGCTTTTACACAGTGGAAGAAGCACAGGCTCAACAGGGAGAGGATCCCGATTTAAATCCTGCTGTTGACCTTCAGTCTGTGTGACCCTAGGCAAATCACTTAACCTCCCTGGGACTCAGTTTCCTCATCTGTCAAATGAGAGGATTGAACTAGATGGCCTCCGAGATCCTTTCCAACTCTTAAAAAAAGAAAAAAAAAGAAAACCTTAAAAATCAGAAATAAAAGCGGTCTGATTTTCTCAACCATGAGAAGACCTTTCCAGCGTCCCATTTATGATCCCCATTGTTATTAAGCCGTGAAGGCAGGCTCAAACAGCTGTCATATAGCAACACCAAGCCAACATGGCATGATGGGCCTGGTGAGCCTTGGACACAAGCATTTGTCCTCTTCCCATCAAATCTTACAGTTGAAAGGCACTTCAGACGCCATTTAATCCAGAAACTCTCTCTGGATGAGAAATCGTCCAGCTTTTGAGGGAAGACCATCAGGAAGCGGGGGGGGGGGAAGGGCTACCACCACTTAGTAGACTGAAATCTTGAGAGCAGAGACTGTTTCTTTGTATCCCCAGCATTTAGCACAATACCTGGCACATAGAAAGTGCTTAATAAATGTTATTTGGCTGAAGGATACCACCCAAGGCTGCCATTTGCATAGTTCTAAATGTTAACTTTTTTTCAAGACTAAATTTACCAGCAGTCAAAGTATAGATATAAACATATTAACAATGACAATGATCTAAACATGAATAAGAAGACTTTTCTCCAAACTGTCTATTCGCCATCTTCCTAACACATTTTTCTGAAAGGCGCCAGGCCACAGTGGGAAGAAAAATTAATCTGGAGTGGGAGAACCTGGGGCCAAGTCCAACCTTGGTCACTTGCTCCCTGGATGCCTGGGGGAGCTCCTCAGACTCTAGTCATCAGTTTCCTAGAAAACAAGCAGGTTGAGCATAGTGGCCTCCAAGCTCCCTTCTCATTCTAAATCTTTCATCCTTTGATCCTTTCTTGCCTCTTAATCTATGCCCACATAATTGCCCTTCCCAGAATTCCCTTTGCCCTTTCTCAATTTAATTTCTATTCATCCTTCGAGGTCTAAAGGCCATTAATTAGATGGGGTGGTGTCTAGAATGCTTGGTTTGAAGTCAAGAAGATCTGTGTTCAAATCCCACCTCTGATACTTACTTAGCTATGTGACCCTAGGCAAGACATTTGACCGGTCCCAACCTCAATTTTCTCATCTGTAAAATGTGGATAATAATAGCACTGACCTCACAAGGTTATTGTAAGAATCAAATGACATCACTTCGAAAACCTAATCCTAATTCCAAGTCTGCCTCTGATGATAACCCCAATACTGCCTATTATTGTCATTATTATTATTATTATTATTAGACACAGTCCAAGTGTATGCATTCTCACTATCTCAGCCCACAGTGATTACTTGCTTCTCTGAATTCCTCTTAGGGTCTGTACCTCTCTTGGGTACTTGTCAAATTCTGCCTTGCATATGTGTCTGGGTCTCATTCCACCACTGGGCTGTAAGCCTCCTGTGGGTCAGAACCAAATCTGATTCATTGGTAAATGCCCTTATGCCCTCATTGTACATACTTTTCCAATGACCCTCCATGGGCTGGAACGTTGCCTTGGGAGAGCATAGTATTGTGAGGAGAGCTGGGTTGGGAGTTAGGAGCCCTGAGTTCCCAACCCAACTCTCACTAATTTTCCATGTGGCCATGGATACATATTTTTTCCCCATAAAGGCCCCTCTCTGGGCCTCAGCTGTGTCCTAGTCACACAATGGAGTTGGAACGAGAGGACCTCGAAGGTTCCTTCTAGCTATGACACTGTGATCCCATCCCATGTTCTTTGTCTCCCACCTTCCCCACTCTGCCCCAACCCTTACTACCCACTATCCCTCTCTTTGGGGATTCCAGATGTGGCCTGCTGCAGGTTGGAGACAGAGTACTGTCCATCAACAGCATTGCCACGGAAGATGGCACCATGGAGGAGGCCAACCAGCTCTTGCGGGATGCCGCCCTATCAAACAAAGTCTCGCTGGAGATTGAGTTTGATGTAGCAGGTAACTGGACCCCTTATACTTTCAGCATGCTTCCAAAAGTGGGCCTACTACGTGTCAGAATTCAGAAAGAGGATCCTCTTTTCTTTCAGGCCTTTTCCCTGATCCCATGATGCCTGTCATCTCTGCCCCACAAACTTATGTTCTCTGCTCTCTCCCAAGGTGCTCTTAGGTGCTCCCAAAGAAGAGGCTGTGGTATGATAAAGAGTGTGGGGGAGAGTAGCTCATTTCTAGTTTCTAGCTCTGGTACTTATGACCTGGGTGGCCTTGAACAAATCACCAAATCTCTTTGAACCTCAGTTTCTTCATCTATAAAATGGGGATAAGCAAATTCTGTCCTGCCTACCTCACTAGTATCTCAAGCAATATTGAATGTGAAAGCACATTGGAAATAGATATATGTGAACTAATCTAAAGGGGGTGGGGATGGGGAGACTAAGTGCCTACTATGTGCCAGGAAGTGTGCTCAGTGCTTCACAAATATTTTCTCACTTCATCCTCACAACAACCTTATGTGGAAGGTACTGTTATTATTCCCCATTTGACAGATGAGGAAACTGAGGCAAAGAGAGGTTAAGTGACTTGCCCAGGGTCACACAGCTAGTAAATGTCTGAGGTAGGATTTGAACTCAGGTCTTCCTGACTCCAGGTCTGGCTTTCTAAACACCGAACCATCTAGCTGCCTAGTCTAAGGGTCTGTTGATAGTTCTACTCTGTTAAATAAAGTAAGACCATCTCTGTACAAAAGGGAGTGGCACCAAAAGAGGTGAAGAACTTCCTATCTGTTGACCAGCCATGCCAAATCATATGGTTATCCTGTTGGGGTGGTGCTCTCCCTTGAGTGGAAGGCACATTCTTAATGCTCATAGCATTCTAGTCCCTAGCCTCCCCAGGCTTAATATAGCCTCTTGGCTTAACAGCTGGTGAGACAGCTGAGTGGTTATTATTAGGCTGGGTGGGTTCCATGTCAGTTCAGTGCCCTTGGGACCAACGGATGGCTAGGAGATATTGGGCCACATCATGGCCACAGAGGGACCTCGTGATGTCACTAGCCTGCATACTAGCATACATATAAGTATCCTGGGTGAGCAGATTAGGGGCTTTACCTAAAGGTGGGTCTTCTTAAGAACCACATAAGCCATGAAGGGCCTCTGGAGTATCCCAACTTTCATTCATTGATTCATTCAGCAAATATTTATATTCATCTACCATGTGTCAGGTATCGTTCTAGGCACTGGAGGTATAAAAACAAAAACAAAATAGTCTTTACCCTCAAGGAGCTTATATTCTACTTAAGGGAGAAACAATAGGTATATAGATGAACAAATAGTACAAGGAGCTGATTAGTAATGAGGGGAGAAGGACTATTAAGAGAAGTGTCATGTAGGAAGAGGCACTTGGCCTGAGACTTGGAGGAAGCTGGGGATTCCAAGAGATGGAGGTGAAGAAGGGTGCATTTGAGGATAGGTGACAATCTTCATGAAGACATAAAGAAGGGAGATAGGATGTCCTGTACAGAGAATATGAAGAGGACAGTTTGGCTAAAAAGAACATTCTCCATGAACCCAGAGTGGGGCACACTCAAAGCCTCCCCTCCCTCAGAGAATATTTCACATTTGTGAATGACAACAACTAGGGAAAATATATGGGAACGGATGATAGATTGTAAAGAAAAACTTCAAGACAATGAAAGCTATCAAAAAGCTAAATGGGTGGTCACACACAACAGTGGGTTATCCATCACTGGAGAGACTGGGTGGTCACTTGTTAGGTATGTAAAAGGTGATTCTTTGGGACTTATGAGTTAAATTAAATGGCCACTGAGATCCTTTCTCCCTTATGAAATTCTTTGAGAGTTCCAGAAAGAAGATGAAAAAAAATGAGTCTAAAATCAATAAAGTGAAATTTAGCCAGAATAAATGTGAAGTCCTCCATTTAGGCTCAAGAAATCAATTTGTTCAAGGGTAGGATAGAGGAAATATGGCTTAATAGTAATTCATGTGGCAAAAAGGGATCTTGGGATTTTAGTTGCCCACAGGCTCAGTATGAGCTATAGTGTGAGGTAGATGCTTAATTTTTTTAAGCTAAATCCATCTTAGGCTAACTATATAATGTTGTCCCACTGTGCTCTGCACTGGTCACACTCTGTCTAGATGGGTATGTCCTACTCTGGGACTGCATTGTGAGAAAGATATTAACAAACTGAAATAAATCCACAGAAATGTAAGCAGGATGGGGAGGAATCTGGAAACTACAAAAGGGACAGTTGAAGGGCCTGGATTATTTTGCTTCAAGAAATTAAAACTCATTGGACAAGTCTGGTCCCTGTCTTAAAGTGTGGCAGCATTCTTATCTATGTAGTTGCAGAAAACAGAATTAAGATGATTGGGAGCAGGGAGGGGGATGACAGGGAGGCAAATTTTAGCTCCACATATGCAAAAACTTCCTAGCAATCAGAGTTGTCCAGTGATAGAATGGAGGGCTTTTATAGTGGTCTGTAAGCAATGACTGGATGACCGCTTGTTAGAGTTAGGATAGAGGAAATCCTCAATCAGTTATGAGTTGAACTGGTTGGCTTTCAGCTCTTAGATTCTGGTGGCATTGTGAAGATCTTTACCAAGGTCGATGTCCCTGAGTAGGTCAGAGTAGTTGGAGAAGGATCTAGAATATCTTGAAGCTCCATCTCATTGGGCGTTGGATGGGGTTGGAGTAGAGGAGTGGAGGTGGTCTATAAGACTCCTAAGTCCTGTTTTCCAGAGTCCTCACACTTAAAATTTGAAATATTGAATAGGAGGAAGTTGTTATTACAATGGGACCATTTTTGAAGGAGCTATCCTTTTTGAGCCAAAGTGGCAAAGATGATATAATGTTGTTTGACAGGGCTTGAAAGGTCCAGATAACTCCAAATAACTCCCTGACTGATCTGTTAGAATGCCTGAGATTCCAACATTACCAAGTAAATACTGCCTTTGGGTGAAATCTTGGTAAGCTCTAGTTAAAGTGCAAATGTTATCTGGGAGGACTGAACCATTCCGCCATTACCCCCCAATAACACTTCAGCTATGTCCTATAGCAAATCACCTCCACCCACTTCTTAGATTTCCCAGCTTCTTTTAAGGCTCAGCTCATGTGCCATCCCACACAGGAAGCCTTGATGATCCTCTTAGCTTTTAAATCTCTCTCTCTTCTCTTCATACTATCTTATAATTATTTGCCTGTTTCCATACTGTATGCCCCCAGGGGAATGAAAGCATCCTGAGGGGCAGGGATTATTTTGCTATTTATCTTTGTATGTCAGCATTTAGCACAGTGCCTGGTACAATAGCAGGAACTTTCTAAATGTTTGCTGGGAGTGAGCCTCAGTTTCCTCTTCTGTAAAATGAGATGACTAGACTTCATTATCTCAAAGATTCTTTCCAGCTTTAATAACAAACAACCAAGCGAATAAGAAAAACTTGGGGCCAGAAGTCAAAGTGGTCTGATTGTCTTGCCTGGGGAGGTCAACACCAGCCCTGAATTACTTTTAACAAGCATTCAAATTGCTCAGACACATAGGGCATGTGTGTCGTTGTTTTCCAGAGTCAGTGATCCCGAGTAGTGGCACCTTTCATGTGAAGCTACCCAAGAAGAGAGGAGTGGAGCTGGGGATAACCATAAGTTGTGAGTATCACTTTTCTTTTTCTCAGGAGAAGTGGTTTGATATGAACTGGAGGAAGCCACCTCCATTCCCAGGGCTAAATCTGGCCCCCGATGTGGCATCTGGGGAGCTGATACTAGTATGGTTGCTGCCATTACAATTCAGAAAATACTTTCTTCTTGGAAGGATGCTGTAGTTGTCTCATTCAGAAACTCTGAGAGATTCAGGGATTAAAAGTGGCTGGAAAACTGTGAACAGCAATTAGGAAATTAATATTTCAATAGACAGGAATGACAACCCACTTGCCCATTGGGTGACCAACAGAGTATGACAGGAGAACTTACCCCTGAATCTTAGCCTCCTTCCATCTTTTTCTTTCTATACCTCTCTCTTCCTTTCTATCTGTCTCAACCTCTGTAATCCCTTCTTCCTCTCCTCTTTCATATCCCCTGTTTTTATGTATCTGCTTTTCTCTATTCTCTCTCTCTCTCTCTCTCTCTCTCTCTCTCTCTCTCTCTCTCTCTCTCTCTCTCTCTCTCTCCCTCCCTCCCTCTCTCTCTCTCTCCCCCTCCCTCTTTCCTCTCCCTAAGCCTGTCTCTGTTCCCCTCCCTCTCTCTGTATCTTTTTCTACTTCATTTCCTTTCCCTTTCTCTTCCTTCCTTTGCTCATTTATCTTCTACCTTGATCAGCCACGATGTTGAAAAGTAGTATTCCTTAAAATATTGGTTGTATGCACAAAGGACCATTTAAAATTTCTTGTTTCTTTTTGTGTGTTAGATGAGTTAAATCATTTATTATTTCCAGTAGAAAGGCAGAACAGGAATCCCTTCAAACCTGTCCCCAAACTGACATTTTAAAAAATTTGTTCTTTGCCGTTGATTGATCTTTCCTCCTTAGAGACTGTGAACCCAGACAGAAAGCAAGTTCCCCACCTCCTGTTTTATCAGGGTAAAGAGAAAGCACTTCACTGGATCCAGGAAAGCAGAGAGGGGCAAGAGCAGTTGGGGGGGGCAGGAGGCGAGAGGAAAGGAGAGGTACAGCCCCTTCCCTGGCTTTGCCCCCACTCTCTTGTCGTGAGCTTGAACTCTTGTCATATCTCCTTACTTCCTCCAGTCCCTCCTGGGTACAACCTGTGCCTTAAGTAAACTGCATGAAGACAGGGGCTATCCAATATTTTTATCTCCTCCAGTGCCTAAGTCAGTGCTTTGCCCTTGTTAGATTATTAAAATAAATGTTTGAATGAATGAATGAATGGACTCTCCATCTCCCATCCCTGTGCCTTTGCCCTAACTGATCCAGGTGCCTAGCATGCTCTCCTTCCACACACCTGCCTTTTAGACTCCCTGACTTCCCTCAAGACTCCACTCAAACAGGACCTTTGGAAGGCGTCTGTTCCTGGGTCCATACATACTCCACCCCTCTCAGCTGCTAGTAGCTTCCCCTCTGAGGCAAAGGTTTGTAACCTTTTTCATGTCATGGACCCCTCTGGCAGCCTGGTGAAGCCTATAGACGCTTCTCAGGATGTTTTTAAATGCCTAAAATGAAATACATAGAACGACCAAAAAAACCCCAATCAAGTTAAAATGTGGTTATCAAAATATTACAATAAAAATAAAACAACAGGTTCCTGGGTTGATCTAAAGTATCCCTGGCATTTGAATAGTCCGGCTGTGGAACTTGGGCTGCCTTAAATGGAGCGGCCATCCTCCCCCTCCCTATTCCCCTGGCTAGGGCCAAGAAGCAGGACTCTGACAATATCAAATGATATCCCCATTTTATCTCAGAGTCAATATCCAGTCTGCAGAAAAGTTATTAATGTCACGCTGAGCCAGAGGAAAGGAATTTGATGGCTGATCAGATGGAGGAGTGTGTTTTCCTCACTCAGACTTCATGGGTTGGAGGAGCCAAGGGTTGGCTCTGTGGCTTGCCTATTAAAAAGGATGGCATTCAGGATATGGATTCATCTTAATGCATGAGGACAGTGACCCTTCGTTCCACAGAGTTGGAACAAACTTCATAGACCATCTGTGGAGTAGCTGGGTGACACAGGAAATGGAGTGATGGACTTGCACTCAGGAAGACCTGAGTTCAAACCTAACCTCAGACACTTATTAGCTGTGTGACCCTGGACAAGTCATTTGACCTATATTTTCTTCTGTGAAATGGGGATAATAATAGCATCTACTTCCCAGGTTTGAGGGGATCAAATGAGATAAAAAATTATAAAGCACAATGTGGCACAATGCCTGGGATATAGTAAGAGCTCTATAAATGTTAGCTATTATCATCATCATCGTCATTATTATTATTATTAACAACAGAGGATGTTAACCATAATAAAACTCTTTTTTTCTGAATGACTCCCAGTCATTGTTAGGAATGTCAATGATTGCACTAGGATTTGATACAGTAGTACATACTGTCAAGGGCTGCTGGGATGAGTAGGGCTGTTTGCCCCAGGTTGCAATGCTTTGAAAAATGTTTGTGTCTGATTTTTGTAGTTTTTCTGTCTCCTCCTCCAGCATCAGATTGCTGCCTGCCATTTGCGTGATTATAAGGATGTATGCTTCTAGGAATGACTGTCTTCTTCCACCACTTCCTAAAAATGTGTTGCTTCTACTCTGTTAGGGGCCAAAATAAAAGCATGGGAATCCCCAAAATTTCTTTTCTTTTAAGAGCTAGAAGGAGACTCTGAGGTCCAAACCCCCTTGTTTTATAGATGCAGAGACTGAGCCTCAAGGAGGATTTGAACTCAGATCTTCTAATTCCAGAGCCAGTCTTCTTTGCACTATATCGTCTCCCTTTCAAGCTATCAGAATCTGTAGTCATACCTTTTTCTAACTTCTGTCTTTCTGCGGACAGCATCGCTCAGATTTAAAACCTCTGAGATATCTTTGACCCTTTGAGGTCACTAGATGGCGCCATAGTGCACAGAGCCGTGGGACAGCAATCAGGAAGCTCTAAGTCCAAATCTGGTCTCAGAAGTTTACTAGCTGGATTACCCTAGGCAAGTCACTTAACCTCTGTCTGCCTCAGTTTCCTCAAATGGGGCTCCTAATAGCACCTACCTTCCAGGGTTGTTGTGAGGATCAAATGAGACAATATTTGGAAAGCACTTAGCACAGGACCTGGAACGTGGTTGGTGCTGAATAAATGGTTGTTTTCTTCCCTTCCTCAGCTTTCTCTCTCTCTCTCTCTCTCTCACTCTCTACATCGAATCAGTTGCCAAGACCTGTTCATTTTATCTCCATAGCATTTCTCTGCTCCATCCCCTCTCCTCTATTTACACTGGCAAAATCCTAGTTCAGGCTTTCATCCTCTCTTGTCTAGACCATCATGAAAGCCTGCTAATTGGTCTCTTTCTCCCGCAAACCATCCTCCACACAGATGCCGCAGTCATCTTTCCCAATGCACTGGTCAAAGCAAGCCACTCCCCTTCATAAAACCCTTCACTGGCTCCAGTGAGAATAGAATTGCCTAGAAGAGAAAATGCAAACTCATAGGCTAGCAGGGAAAGGATTTTAGAGATCACTTTGTGCACCAATTGTCTCATTCTATAGTAGTGGGAAGATCCTGAAAATTGTAAGGAATAGAGTAAGGCTTCTGGCTGAGATCTTTAAACTCTAAAGCCAGTCCACTTTCTGTGATGCTACATGCTTTACTCTGGAATAGATGAGAAAAGAATGGAGGAACCTTCTTTCTCATAGCACAACTTGGAAGGAAAGCAGTATGGTGTGGGGCAAAGGCTGTGGATTTGGAATCAGAGAACCTGGGTACAAAGCCTGCACTCTGAAACCTTAGCCAAATCATTTCACCTCTGTGGGCTTTCTTTTTTTTTCCTCTTCTGTAAACTGAGAGTATTGGATTAAATGTTCCTTAAGGTTCCTTCCGAATCAAAATCTGTAAGCCTACAATGTGGTACAAGGGAGATGGACTGGGGTGAGGTGACAACTCTCAGAGGTATGGGAAGAATGACCCTGGAGCAGGTGGAGGGTGGCACCAAGCGCTCAACCTGCATGCCATCTTTGGTATAGATGCTTTCAGTTGCCAATTCAATCTTTGTCTTTGTTTGCAAAGTGAATCCCTTGTCATCCTCCTGGCTCAACTAAATTGTCCTCACTGTGTCTCAGAAATGTTTACTTTTGTGAGTCGAGTTTTAGAGCACTCAACTTAATTACATTTCAGCCAAATGCTTTATCTCAATCAATAGGAAGATACAGTTGTACCCACAGAACCATTGGTGAAAATTAATTGTGGTATGTAACTCCTCTGAGGGAAATAATTCCTCTGTTGCTGACACCAGGCTTCCTATTAAAATCCCCAAACAGACTGGCCTTTGGAGTTACTTTATCCATCATGGTGCCACATAGAGGGCATCCAGATCTCAATTGGGATGGGGCGAGGAGCTGAGAAGCAATTTAGAAAAAGTAAACAATGGCATTGATCATCTTTAGCTCTGCCCACCACCATCCCTCCCTCCACATGCTCCTGGAGTGTGGCTTTCTTCCCCCTTGACAAGCACTGATATGTGATGGCTTGTTTCTACAGCATTAACTGAGTTTGATTCAATAAGCACACATTGATCAGAATCTATCTACGAGATCCCGAAAGGCACAATGGACTATACAAAGATAAAAGGAGTCATGGTCCCTGCCCTCATGGAGCTTTGAGTCCAATGGGTGGTTGCACTATGTGGATATAAATATCTCCAGCTGAATGAAGAATATGAGAATGTATGGGAACAGTATAAATAAAGGGTGTAAAGTGACAGTTCTATGGGATGGGATGCTGTCTTTACTTTCAGAAATACGCCCCCCAGAAGCCTGTGCATAAGTAATTGAGGCAGTTTGTAGTATACTCACTGAAAATGGATGGCAGAACTCCTGTGGGGTGGGGGTGGGGAGGGACATGGGACAGCAGTCCCCCAAGGAAAAGTTTGGATTGTGAGAAGTGGAAGGGGAAACCAATGATATGAAAGGAGCAACTGGCAGCATGGAAGAGAGCTATGATATGAAGAGCTGAA